GAGGGGGTGTCCCCCAGCTGGCACAAATGAAAGGGAGCCAGGTAGGAGCTGCCCCAGCATTCTGAGAGCCTTCCCAGTTACTGATGGTGCCAATCTGAGGCCTCCTTCTTATATAAAACACAGTAAGCACAATTCCAGGCTAGAGTTGCAGGACCTTCTAAAGCCCCCAGTGCCTGGCCAGGTTGGATCTTCCTGTGTCTCCCACTGCCTTGAGCTCCAAATCTCCACCCAACGGGATCCTAAGAAACCTGCCATTTCTAGTCTTGTATTCAAAGCTGCAACCTCTGGGGTGTTAACCCACCAGCTGACTTGGGTGCTGCAGTCTGGACATGAGGAAAGCTGTCTCAAAGCGCTTTTGCACAATAAGCACATTTATAAAAATCTAGATGTTGTGTGTATGGTGTATTTGGGTGGCAGAGGGCTTTGGATGGAGATTCAAGAAGAGTTTAAGCGCCCCTTAGTTCAAACCTTGGTGCCACTGCTGTTACACCTATTTAAACTAGAGGAGCCACATTTTAACTTAGGCTTTGGGGGAAACCCTGGCCCCTCAGATGGTGGGGGAGAGATTGGGGTGCGCAGGGCCCATGGTCTAGGTCTCTTCTACAGGTACCTAGAGACAGCACGTTAAACATGGACATTATTGGGGCCAGGGGTTTAGCTCAGTGGCATTGCGCATGCCTTGCAAGCGCAAGGTCCTGAGTTCAATCCCCAGTACGGGGGCAGGGGTAGGGGCATGGGCAGTATGGACTACAGAAATTGATAGAGTAGGCAAAAAAGGGAAGTTATGAAGAGGTGTAGATAGCATTTATATATAGATGTATAATAACATTATAATAACCCTATAGGCTCTTTTTGCGCTGACAGGTGATTTAAGAAGGATGCTTTTCTTCTCTGGTGTCACCTGAACTGCCAGGTGAATGAACCAGGACCTTCTCAAATCCCCAATTGTTATCATATACAGTATTAATATTGTATATTTATATATTTAGCTTCCAAATAAATACATGTAATCTATTATAGTTAAGAACAGGGTCCGGAGCCAGACTACCTAGGCTCGAATCTTGCTTTCAATTCTTGAGATTTTTACTGAAACTCTGCCTCAATTTCTTCATCTGTAAGGGGCTTAATCGGAGTACGATGAGGACTCTGAGATGATCCCTATAAAGCTTTTAACATGGGTCCTGGAATATAAGGGCTCAAAAATGCTAGTGGTTCCTTTCACAATCTCCACCTTTCCCAGCCGGCCCAGAGCCCCAGCCCTAGCTCCAGAACCGAGGGTCCCCACGTCGGCCCATTGTTCTCGCTTTCCGGTGGGGCCCCTCCGGGCGCCGGGCGGAGCGGCGGCTGCCGCCAGGAAAGCACGACCCAACCCGACACCCTCCTCCCGTGTGCGTGCTCGCCAAGCACGAGACTGAATCCTGGGACTGAGCCCTACTTGCCTGTTTCGTCGCTGGAAAATAGAGAATTGCAAAGAACCTTTCTTTCTGGCCCCTAGCAGGGCCGACTGGGGCTAAGCAAGACTCTGGGTGTCCTATGTCTGCCCTCAGTTTTGGTCCCCCTGGGGTCAACTTTCAAAATGCTGCTTCCTGCCAGCGCGCAGGTGCGGCACAGCCCAAGTATCTGGGCCTGAGCAGACTTCTCAGACCATGCTGCCTCTTCCTAGCCAGCCCCAGGTTGCCCCCAGCACAAGCGCAAAAGTGGGTGAAAGGGCTGGGCAACTTGCCCAGGCTGGCAGCTGAATGAGACCAAGATTTGGAATCCTTGGGTCCTGGCTGTGTTACCAAATTGCTTTCTGACCCGTGGCAAGGCCCTGCTGATCTTGGAGCCCCAGTTTCCCTCCTCTAAAGGTGGTAGGAAAGCAGGTGTGGCTTCTCATCCTGGCAGTGCCACTGGCTGGCTGGGGTTACTATGGGAAAATGGTTTATTCCCTGCCAGGTTCAGTCTGTCTAATCTACAAAGTAGTCTACTCACCAGATTAATAATATGGCTTCTGATCACTGGGAAGTTTCTCATCTGTCTGCTGCACTTTATCTCCTTTTTTCAGCACATAAGAGGAACTATGCCAGAAGACTGGCGCTGGCAATTTGAGGCTTTCTGAAGAGTGAATCTAGGTCTTGGTGCTGAGCAGAACTAGGGCGTTTGATGTGTTTTTCCGCATTCCAGCCTTGGGGAAGCAGAAGACCTGTGTCCACAGGTTGGTTTGACATGACATGGGTGACACAGGCCACATGTCCCAGTGTCTTATGCAGGAATGAGCCTCCTGTCAACAGAGGGGGCTCACATCACAATGAGGCAGCAGCTTCAGAACTGGTTTCCAGGGGACCGTCCTACTTGCCTTCACTCTTCTAGAGGTCACTGTACATGCCTAGGGCCCCTCCTTCACACAGCCTTCCCTCAATTCCCCTCTGGTTTTGCTCCTCCATCTTGTAGACTGCCACAGAAACCCCCAAATCTGTTTGGATGGGGGTAGGTATCAACTCCCCCAAAACTCTTCCAGATAACCACCCCAAACAAATCTTAGAAGCCTGTTTCTCAAGCATGTAATCTTACAACATGCCCCCTCAAACCTGACTGCATTTTCCCATGCCCCTCTTCGGCAGGCTCCTGTTCTCAAACTTGCCCACCCAAATACAACAAAGGGCTCAGAGAACGCTGAAAAGCACCACCTTTCACAAAGGGCTGCTGTGAGTAGAAAGACTGTTTACTCACCATCTCTCGTGTACTTCCATTAATCTTCACTTAGTCACACAGGGTAAAAATTACTACCTTGATTTTACAAAAGTGGGATCCCAAGCTCCTGGCTGGGATAGTGTCTTAATCGATTAAGGCTGATGCAACAAAATACTTTAGACTAGGTTGGATATAAACAATAGAAATGTAATGCTTACATTGCTGGGGGCTTAGAAGTCCTTGATCAGAGAGCTCTCTGCTTCGTCTTGGACATCCTCACAGGGCAGAAGGCCATGCAAGCTCCCCAGGCCTCATTCACAGTGCTCTACCCTCATGACTTTATCACTTCCCCAAAGTTCCCCCTCTTCATGCTACCACATAGAAGACTAGATTTCAACACTTGAATTTTCAGGGAACACCAAATTGAGGCCATAGCGTCTGAGATGAGACAGTCGGGTCAGTCCCAATCTGAAATGTCAGATGTCTTCTTTCTGTTCAATTTCCTCACTCCTCAGTTCAGTGTAGCCACCTCCCTGAAACATTTACTCTCCCTCCCCTTTATAGGTGATCAGAGACCCCTGGCAGATACCCAGGAACAGAAGCCTGGGGTCATCATTCATATCATTCTCTATGTATTTCCCATACTAGATTCTAGGCATGTGGTAGGATGGCACTTCCTTGTCCCTTTGTGATGGGTAGGGTGACTTGTTGATGAGAAGTGGCATTAGACAACTGAGGCTGGAGCATTTAATTGCCAGATGGAGGTCTCTTTCCCTCTGCCATGGCTACTGACAGCTTTTAAGATAGTGGCTGTTCCACCAGGGCAGGGCCTGGTGTGAGGAGACATGGGGACCCCTGCCAACCCTTGGTGGATATTATGGTTTGGATCTCAAATATTCCCCAAAAGGCTCAGATGTTCAGAGATGGGCTCTGGAAGGTGATGGGATCATGAGGGCTCTGACCTCATCACTATGGATGAGTAATGGCTCAGTGAGCCTGCTAGGAGGTGGGGCTCAATTGGATGAGACAAATCACTAGGGATGTGGCTTTGAAGGGCATATTTTGTCTCTGGCCCCTTTCTTGCCACCACCCCCACCACTACCACCAACTCTCTGCTTCCTGATTGCCATGAAGTAACCACATTTCTTTCATCATGTCCTTCTACCATGTTTCTGCCTTACCACAAGTCTAAAAGCAAGAGAGCCAACTGATCATGGACTGAAACGTGGGGCAAAATAAATCCTCCTTTCTCACTCTCATATATTTTGTCAGTGACAGAAAGCTAACACAGTGGGCATGTGTGTAGAAATAAGATTTACGTTAAGAGCCACTAAGATCTCAGGGTTGTTTGTAACTGTAGCATGAACTAACTTTGTGCAAACCTCCAAAAAAGCAAAACCAAGGCAACTGAGAAAGAGCATGTAGCATATTTTGTTTCCAGAGGCCAAATCCCACTGGCCATCTGTGGTGTCTATGGCCTCACAGGGACTGTTGGCCCATTGTGGGAACAACCTGGATGGCACAGTTGAGATAATCTACCCAAATTAGTCCCTGAACAAATCTGGAAATTGAGGATTGAGGTCCAGGGAGAGTAGGGACTGACTCTCAGGCAGGGCTGGAATTCTGTCACTCATGATACCCATAACCAATAGGAAGATGGAAGCCTAAAGAGAACATGGATTTTTGAGAGCAGATTCTCCATTCAGGGTTTTTCCATGTCCTCTCCTGGAGGTAGATTTCCTGAGGCTGCTGCCTGGGAAAGGCCAGCAGGCACACGTGACCAGTCTGGCCCTGGGTGTCTTCCAACACACCTTGGCTGAGTCTACTTACTGCCTACCTAATATCCATGCTCCCCTTTTTTAGTAACAGAAACCCAACAATCTGGCAATAGGTCCAACCAAAAAACTTCATTTCCCATGTTCCTTTGCAGCTCTTGTGTAACCACATGATTAAATTTTTTTTTCAGTACCAGGAATTGAACTCAGGACCTTGTGCTTTCCAGGCAGATGCAGCCCCACTGAGCAATATTCCTGCCCCATAAATTCTTACTGCCTAAGTTGAGGTCTACCTAGGCCTTTTCAGTGGATTCCTCTAGGGAAATCCAAGACTCAGATGCAGAGGGGTGGGAGTCCAAGCACCTTCCTTCAGGTCTCAGCCAAAGCCTGGCTTTGTCTTTCTTGGCTGTGTGGCCTTGGACAAAGGGTAACACTCTGAATCTGTGGATTGCTGTAACAACAGATGAATCACCTTATCTCCATTGCCTGGCAGAGCACCCAGTGTATACAAGCTCAATACATGGTTTTCCTCCTGTCATTATTCAGTGGGACAGATGTAACTATGGTGACAAAGGCCCAGGTTGTGCTGCACCTTCCAGATTCCAGAATCTTCCAGATTCTTCCAGAGGTCTCTGTGCAGAGGGTCAGAGTGTGCAATGGCTCCTCTGCCCAGCAACCATTCTCTCAGTAAGAGTGTCTCTGTTTTCATTTGAATGTGATGCTTCTGTAATTTAATTTATATAGCCATGAGGAAGAAACTAACATATACTGGATGCCACCTGTGTCCTAGACACTTTACATGACTAATTCATTTAATCCTGAGGACAAGCCTGTAAAGCAAGAAGACAAAGAAATCCTAGCTTAGAGAGGTTTAGTAACGTGCAGATCTGAACTGATCTTATGCTCTGACCCAATCATCTTATATAAAGGTGAGCCATTTAAGTTTATAACTGTAATTGTCTTTTCTAGGAGGGGCATTTATTCATTCAGTATATATTTATTGAGTGCTTACTATGTGCCAGGTATAAGAAGCGTACAGGGAAGCCACTGCCACCATTGAGGACCCATTCCAGATGGCACAGATGCTTCACCTCACAGGACAACTCCAGGCGACAGTCACTGCCTGTGACATTACAATGAGAGGACTCTGAGCAGACTCTGGGCTCTGCAGGATGGAAGTGAAATGGTTGGTTATTCAGGCTGGCCATAGGTGCTATCATGGAGTTTCTGGTATATGCTGCATATCGGTCACCTGTGTTTCAGACCAGTTAAGACTGTTCAAGTAAATGTGTAATGAAGCAAAGATCCATCCTGGAGCCCAGGTTCTAATTTTTATTGTGAAAACAGAAGCCATTGTAGACCTACCAACTAGGCTATACCCTAAAGGAACTTGGTTTTTTTTTTTCATTCATAAATACACAGTTTTATTTGCTAGTATCGGGGGAAACTTAGACATTAAAAAGTAAGCTGATTAAATACGGATACCTAAAAAAGTATAAAAGTATAAATACCCCCTTAGAATAATTTTTTGTGAATAAGTCAATATTTTTAAATTAAAAAAAAACAAGCCTACCTATTATATGTCAAGGTCATAAATCAAACAATGCTAAGCCTCCTGCAGCTCCCTGGAGTATGTCCCCACAGCTAACAGTGGGGTTATCTTTAGCTGGGCCTCCACTGGGAGGACAGGGTCAGCCAGTGGCTACTTCTGACCTTTAGAAATGTTTTCATGAATTCTTTGGGAACTTGGGATCTAACTGGCAGCCTTAGAGACATGTGAACAATACAGATGATTCTCAAAGAATAGAACATGATCATCTGCCCCCAAGTCAGAGGTGAGAGACCACATGGATAAGGATTTCACTTTTCTTGTGATTTGTTTCCTGTGTGACACTCTTGGCTGAGGGTTCTTTACAGGCAGGTAGAGTATCTCGTCTGAGGGGCTAAGGCCACCATTTGCTGTCCAAGGTTAGTGCATTTCTCCCCAGACTCATTATGGAGATTGTGACGTATCCCTGCCTAGTTTGGCAGGCAGCCCCAATACTCGCCCTGCCCTGAGTGAGTGCACTGCGTTATTCCTAATGGGACTGCCCTCATCCAACCAAATTTACCAAGATCATCTACCAAATTCCTCATTTTATTTTCTGTTTAACTTGATTTTAATATGATCATTTATTGGGATAATATATTTAAGTTTTTAAAAATTTAAAAGTCACCCCCCCAAAAATATACTATTAAAAAATATCCCCTCCCAATCAAACACACAGCTCTTTAGTTTCCCTTCCAGGGAACAACTAATCAAAATTCCCTTTTAAAACAATTGAACTTAATTTGGTCCTCCCCTACAAAAAAACAAGCATTCAGAGCAAAAACTAACTTTAAAAACATACAGAGATAAACAAGCACACACAGATACACACACATACATTACCACCATGGAGCATATGCAAGTACACACTGAAAAGCTACCCTGCACCTGTAGTATAGCTCAGTGGTAGTACTCAAGGCCTGGGCTCAATCCTCAACATAAAAGAAAGACAAAGGATGGGAGGAAGGGAGGGAGGGGAGAAGGAAGAGGGAGGGAAGAGAAAGAAAAGTAGAAAGAAAGGAGGGAAGGAAGGCTCACCCTCAATCTCCCCACCCTGAGATAATCAGCATTTGAGTGTATATGTCCTAGGCTCTCTGTCCCAAAACACAACTGTCCCAAAAATGAAAACAAAACACAAGAGCAGACCATTACTGATTTTTCTTTAGTATCTCAGGAACATTTTCTCATAGCTCCTTCCTTCAGTGACATTAATGGCTTTGTCATCTCTCAGAGATGATGATTTATGTAATCAGACACCAGAGATGGACATTGGGGATTTCCAGTTTCCCTGTTAGAAGCAACACACTGACATGCCCTAAGACTTCACTGTAAAAGATTTCTAGGAAAAATTCTGTCATAAGATACGGCCACCTTTTAAGGCCCAAGCACCCATTGAATCACTCTCCAGTCTACTGTCTTTCCCACATCATGACTAAGTCTCCAAATGGAGACTTCAAGAAAAGGCCAAAAAGGCTTGGCTCACACCCAGCTCAACATCACTGTGTTGAGCCCCACACATCAGCTGTGTGCACCTGAATCCCACTTCCAAATCCAGACTAAGGCAAAGGTCTCCTTGGGCCTGGCCACCTGCTTTGTTTACTCAGCCTCAGTACCTGGCCTGGGCCCATCCCTGTCCAAGGTGACTCAGCTGAACAAAGGGCAGGCACCACCCTTCCCAGAGAAGGAACCAGCTGGGACAAGAGCCACCACCATCAAAGAAGGGAAGGCAAAGAGACTGAGCAAAGGCTGAAGAGGACACACAGCAGCAGCTTCCTGCAGGTAAGAGTGGGGCCCATATCAGCTGGGTCACGGATGAACAAGACTTGTTCTCACCCCATCTCCTTCCCTCCCTGCCTCTGCCCTCAGAACTTCCTAGAAAGTTTCAACCTGCTTCACTCTAGGAGTGATGTGTGCCTAGAGTTTCCTTTTCTGACCCCAGCCCCAGGCCAGGTCTGAGAGCTGAGTGATTTTCTGAACTGCTTTCCACTTCCATCCTCACCCCCATTCTCTTTCCCAGACATATGCCAGAGGCTGGTTCAAATGACAGCTGGACCATGGCACTCACTTTGCTGCTTATCATGAAGACCCCAGGCAATGGCACCCACACTTTGTTCCTTGATTTGGCTCTTGGCAGCATACATCCGGATGAAGCGAGAGGCCATGGACAAAGAGCCTGTTTCCAAAAAACAGAGCCAGGCCTCTGCTTATTACCTCTTTCTCTGAAGCTGTTTCTACCAACAACTCTCCTGCTCTCACCAGGAAAAACCTGCTGGGAAACTGGGCCAATGGCTTTACTTCTCTAAGAACTTGTGTCCTCATGTGGAAGCTGGAAATAACTCAGCTAGGATGGAATGAAATGATGGAAATGAGGAGTGAGTACTCAGGCACCACAGAAGAGGGGCTCAGGAAAGGACTTAGAATGAGTCTGCCTGGCTGGACTGGGATATACTGACTGTATTCAGTGCCCCAGCTAGTAATTACACACAAACACTTTTCACCTGGGTTCTTGCCTATGTTCTTTCACTCTGCCCCTATCTCCAAACACCAGCCAGGAGGGCTGGATAAGCTGAACAGTGGCACTCATTCTGCTCCTCAGAATTCCCCAGTGGCTTCCATTTTACCAGAGGAAATGCTGTCGTCCTCACCAAGACCTGCAGATCCTATAGGATCTGATGCCTCACCTCTTCTCCAGCCTCCTCCTCCACTGCTGTCCCTTTGAATAGCTGTTATCAGTCTCAGTGATCAGATGCTCCTAAACATAGCAGACCCTCCCCTCTCAGGGCCTGTGCAAGGGCTAGGCCCTCAGCCTGGTATGCTCTTCCCACCACTGCTTTAGGCCTTTACTCATGCCCGTCCCTGCAGTGAGGGTCTTCTGGACCTTCTGATACTCTGTACTCTCCATCTTGGTTCATATGCTTCCCAACACCTAACATAGCCTACAAAGTCGGAGTTTTTTATCCAGCTTCACACTAGAAAGTACTTTCCTCAAGAACTGACTCTTTCTTTGTTCACTAACTTACTGAATGCCTATGTGCTAGGTACTGTGCTAAATGCTTTTCATACACATCTTATCTTTTAAAAAATCGAATCCCCAGATAACTGTGATGCTAATATTATTACCCTATTACAAAAGAGATGGCACTCAAAAGGGACTTGCCCATGTTCTGCTCTAACAAGTCAGAGGCAGACTGAGCCCAGTCCAGCCTGCCTCCAAAGTCCTGGCTCCTGCCCTCTCTCCCCTGAGCCTTCATTTGGAAACATCTGTATTTTCTGAGTCCACAGCTTCTCCCCAGCCAGCAGTACAGCTGGGGGGCAGGGGGGTTTACATGCAGGTGGCCTAGCAACAGTCTCTTCCTTTCCGACTCACCAGATCCCTGGGCTAATTTGGCCTTCCAGGAGCTATTCCTCTGCCACGCTAACCCACGCATCCCTCCCGCACACTGTCTTCTGAAGGATAGATGAGCTGTCCACAGGAACAAGTGGGAGTCCCAGAGCTTCAGCTTTTTGGAACAAAGTGTTCCTATTCTAAATTCAAAGATGGAAGCTGGAGACCCCTTTCATCTCTGCTGATCTCTCAAGGACTTGATTGCTGGTTTTTTTTGTAGGTGTCGCTATTGCTTATAATATCAAGAAGTACAGAAGCACAGGGATAGTAATCTGGAAAGTGCTATAGGAAAGGAAAATTCCTCTGGGAGAGAAGGGGTTACATGGGTTCTTTTCAGAAGGGCCAATTACTTGCAGGAAGCCATTAGCATAGAACTAAGCAGTCTTCCACTGTCAAATTGCAGGAGCCAAGAGGCCTTTCACTCCACCACATTAAGGCTTTTATCTTCTCCCTTTCTAGGCCCATGGTTATTTTTCAAAGGACTTTCTGCTGGTTGTAAACACAGATGGAAATGGGGAGAAAGGCTGTGTATCTAGGATTTTAGGCTTTCTCTTCCTTCTGTGTCTGCTTTTCTACCCTAAAACAGTAACTATATGCCTGCTTTGTGTGGGGCCCTGTGCTCAACAATGGGGACCCACAAATGAGTGGAATTTCTTGAACAGTGAGGATGACAAGCAAACAGTACACAGTGGAATTCCTCAGGGAGGCCTTGCTCACAGTAAGAGCTTAATAAACATCTGAGGAATAAATAGGTTACCAGAGGGGGTTCCCAGGGGCTTCTTTCTAGGTCGTATGTGTCCTGAACAAAGAAATGGACAAGGTGAATATATGAGGTGCTGTGGTCTAAAGGAAGGCTTGCCGATCTCTGAGGCTATGGGCTGGATCTGGGGGAAGGCTCAGAACTGGAGTTCACCAGGTAGAGAGGGAGAAGGTATGAATGGTACTCAAGACTGAGGGAATAGCACCTCCAAAAGCTGGAGGCACAAGCTGGTGAACTGAGATTTAGAGCAAGCAAGTAGCTTGGAAGGAATGAAATGCACCATGAGTGGACGAGGAGGTAAGACTAGAGACTTGGGAGGAGTCAGGTTGATGCAGGCCTGAGAAATCCATGTCTCATGTGCCATAAGAAGGAAGGGTAGGAGCTAAGGTTAACTCCCAGATATCTGGGTCCGCCCATGGATGGATTTGGTGGGTCTGCAGTAGAGGGACAGCACAACTGGGTAAAGCTTCAGAAGGCCAATCTTCAGGAAGTCATAAATATGCAGAAGGCAGCTCAACTCTTAGGCCTGGGCCTCCCTATTCTTGAAATAGCACACTCCAGCAGCTTGACCTTTCCATTCTTTATGGCCATATCAGGTATTTGCTCTTCCTCCAGACTTTCTGTTTCATGGTTTCCATACTCTTTCCTGTGCCCCACAGACCAAAATGCCTGGGTCCTTTGTAACATGGGTCTAATTTTGCCACGGGGAATGTCCTGCTCAGCCAAACTCAAGTCTTCTTCCCTGGGCAGCAAAATCCCAATCACCAATCAATGAAGGGTGGTCCTCCACGGTGGGGCAGAATATTCTCAGCTCAACACTGTATCAATAGTCTGGGCCAAGCTAGAATCCCCCGTGAGAGGGCGGAAAGGATAGTGATGTCAAGATGGGTAGGAAATACTTAGGGACTTGAAGGCCCTTATGAAGTCAAAAGGAAGGCTGAGGCCTCCTTTTCAGTACTAGCAACAAGCACCAGGGAGCTTTGCTCTCCTCTGATCCAAATGCTGCCTCAATACAGCATTTTTTGTCAGGAGGTAGTGGCTCATTTGTGCTCCATTCTTTCAGTACCCACAAGTGCTCAGAGGCCAGGGCTGTGAGAGCAAGGGGAACACTCATCCACCTTTTTTTTTTTTCCCTCTTGTGGTACTGGGGACTGAACCCAGGGCTTTTGTACTGAGCTACCTCTCCAGCCCTTTTTTATTTTTACAGTCTTACTAAGTTGCCCAGCATGGACTAGCACTTACAGTCCACCTGCCTCAGCCTCCAGAGTTCTGGGATTACAGGCCTGTGCCACCATGCCCGCCCACTCTTCCAGTTTAAAGCTCATGTGACAAGCAGTTTCCAGTAAAGATGGGATACAGAGCTCAACCTAGCCTTCCACTTCTTACCCTGCTGCTTTACCTGATCTCTCTTTGTGGGCGATGGCACTAATCATGAGGACCTGGAAAAAGTCTGAGGCCTGTGGTCTTTAGTAACCCACCTGACCAATTATCTCCACACGGAACAGGTAGCCATTTTTCTTTCTGCAGCCACAGGACATTCTGGGAGCCCACTGTGCAGCCTAGCGGGATCTCTGCACAGGTGCCATAGCCCACATCAACCAGGAGACGTAACTTCCGGCCAGGTTCTCGAAGCTGTGGAGGTGGATAATTGAAAGATCATCCAGTCCTGTCGCAGATGGGTGGGTGGAGGCCGGCCCTAGTGACTGTCAGGCTTCTCTTGGTGCTCCAATACATGGAGTTTGTGCCTGAGGCTTCAGTTTCCCAAAGCAATTGAGGTGGAGGGAGGGGCAGGTGCATCTTGAGACTTAGGCCATGGTTCCCTCGGGGTAGTTAAAAAAAATTAGGATGCCTTGCTATAAAAGAAGGAAGTGACAATAATAATAAAAGAATACACGTAAATTAGATTTAATAGGAGACGATTTCAACTAAGCTTTCCCAACAGTTTGTATTTGACCTTGAGTCCAAGGCTAAATATGTTGGACTCAGATGATGGATTCACTGTGACAGCTAAGACTCAAGGCAAACACGGGTGTGCTGTTTTGGTGAGCAGAGTCCACAATGACTTTCCAAAATGGTGAAGAAAACAGAAGTTTTAACTTCCCTCCATTAGCCTAGTGTATCCATTTCTGCATAGTATAAATTATAAGTAGTATAGCTTAGATTATAAGCTGCTTATATAAAACAGCTTATAAGCAGATTTTGTTTTATTTTGCCTACACTAAGGTTTGACAGGAGACATTTGAAAAATCATCCAAGACAGAATACCATTTGTTGTAGTGAATAGTTCTGTCCATGATAAGAAGTCCCTATTCCTGACCCTTGTCTCTTAAATGCTAGTTCAGTTGTCCTAGTCTTGTAACTACCAAAAATGTCTACATAAATTTCCAGTTTGTTTCTTGAAACCTCTGATTTATTTAGTCAAATAACAATTTTTGCCAGCATGCACAGGCTGGGCACTGCTTTGGTGAGCAGAGATAGTTTGTTGATCTGGACACAGCCCCTGCCCTTGTGAAATAGGGTCCAGTGTGAGGAAAATGCCAGGTATTAATTATATAATGTGATAAATACTTACAATATAGATGTAGTACAGGTCAAGGCCGAATATTCCCAGCTAGCTGGCAGTCCTGGGAAAGCCAACCAAAATATCCTCTGAAGGAGCCTTGAAGGAGCACTGCACTGAGGAGAGAGGTGCACCACGTAGACTCCAGTCCAACTGAAGAAGATCTAGGTTGCCTGGAACACAGTGAATGCTTAAGTGGTTTGAGTGAATCATGAGATGGTTGGATGAGACACAACATCTTTCCTGGCAGGGAGCCATTCCCCCGATATAAGGGAAACTACTACAGGAGGGAGGAATGCCTACTTCCTGATATCTCACTACCACCCTCTGCCAACCAAGGCTAGTACTGTGTAGGGGCCAGAGAAGGTGCCACGGGTGAAAGGATCTGGGAGCAATTCTCAGGAAATGGATCTCCGATCCAATCCTGTACTCTACCAGAGGGCAGCTGCCAGAAATATAACTGCACTGATCTTCAGTGTTAAAAGCAGGGCAGAGGTGACCTTTTATGCTCATATCTGCTATTCATGCGTGATCCTGGTGGCAAGGCATACTTTTGGTGAATGGTAACTGCTGTGGACTGTCCCAAAATAAAAAATCTCCTTAGTGGGATGTTCTCTTCCTCCTACTGGCCTAAAAGAGGTCAGAGCCAGACTCCTTCTTCCCCTAGGAAATTCTTGTCTTCTTAGGATGGTTATTTTTGCCCCAAAGCCCAGACTAGGGCAAAGATTTGGAACTGCCTTCAAGAGTCAGGCAGGCAATGTCAATCAATGAAGGGCTGGGTAGATACTTTGGGGAACAAGAAAGCAAGTGCAGCCCATCTAAGAAGGAGCCCTTGGTGAGCACTGCTATGCATGATCCATGCTCTTGCCAAATTATTTTTTTCAATGCAGGTTAGAAGTAAAGAATTTTATATCTTCATTTAAAAAATATCGGCACCAATTCAAATTTATAAAACAAAACTCAACTCTGAGAGGCACACAAAGCACATTTGGACTTCTGGTTCTTGGCTCTGTCTTATGAAAGTAGATGTTCTGTCCTATGAAAGCAGAACTTTGCTTTACAAAATGGGAAGTGGGAGCCAAGGCAGAATGCATCATCTTGGCCTCCATACTCCATGCAGGGGTAGAGGCTCTGCAGCTAATGAGAAGGTCCAATTCCTGCCCTTTTTTGGGCTTCCAGACTAATGAGGCAGTTAGACAAGTGAAGAGACAACTGTGAGAGTATTGAATAATCAATAGGATAAGAACATGAGGAGAGAGCACAACTCAAGTCAGGTTTCCTTCAAGATGGGTCCTCTGGTATTAGACTTGAAAATTGTTAGGAGTTAGCCAGATGAGGAGCAAGGGTTGGACGGGTATTGCAGATAGAGGAACTAACATGCTTGGAGACATGAAAAAATAACATTCAAGAACATGAAAGTAGCTCATTGTGACTAGAGCTGGAAGTGGAGGCTGAGAAAAAGGCATGTAAGAAACATAATTGGACTCTGAGATTCCACCTCACTCCAGAAAGAATGGCTGCTATCATGAAATCAACCATTAACAAATGCTGGTGGGGCTGTGGGGAAAGAGGAACCCTGATCCACTGCTGGTAGAAGTGTAGACTGGTGCAACCACTGTGCAAATCAGTATGGAGATACCTCAAAGAACTAAGACTGGAAGTCTCATTTGACCCAGCTATTCCCCTGCTGGGGATCTTCCCCAAAGAATTAAAAGAATCATACCACAGTGATATATGTGCACCCATGTTCATAGCAGCACAGTTTTTAATAGCTAAAACTTGGAAACAGCCCAAGTGCCCATCAACTGGGGACTGGATAAAGAAAATGTGGGGTTTTTAAAAATAAAATGGAGTACTACTCAGCCATCAAAAATGAGAAATTAGAGACATTTATAGCTAAATGGATGCACATTGAGGCAATACTCTTAAGTGACATAAATAGGTTACACATGTGTAAATACCAAATAGTTTCTCTAGTATGAGAAACTGAAAGTGTAAATAAGGACTAAAAGGCATAATAGATAATGTGAAATAGGAAGAAAAGGGGCAAAGGGGAAGGGGAAGCGGGAGGGGTAGGGGAAAGGAAAGAAGGGAATGGAATTAATATGAGAAAATGGAAAATGGAAACAAAGTGTTTGTAAACAGGGAGGGATGGAGGGGTTGAAGGGAGGGCTGGGCAAGGGTGAAAAATAAGAACCAAGAGAGACTATGTAAAGGTGCAAATTTCCAATGATGAATGTCATTATATTGTATACCCTAAAATGTATGAATGATTAAAATGAGTAATTGGCAATGTGAAATAGGAAGAAAAGGTCCAAAGGGGTAGGGGTAGTGGGAGGTGCAGGGGAAAGGAAAGAAGGGAAAGGAAAAATGATGAGAAATGGAAAAAATGGAAATAAAGTCTTTGTAAATAGGGAAGGGTGGAGGGGGTGAAGGGAGGGCTAGGAATGGGGAAAAAATAAGAACCAAGATGCATCATGTAAAGGTACAATTCCCAATGAGAAATGTAAATGTGTTGTATACCTACAATGTACCAATAAAAGAATTTTAAAGAAAAAGAAAAAGAAAGACAATTGGAGAATTAGGCAGAGGTTGCAGACAAATGTCTATGTGGTCTTGAGTAAAGTGAGTAAAGTGGCCTAGGTGTAAGAGCAATAGAGAATGGTGGGGCCAAGGGGGCTCTGAAATCAGCTTCTCCTCAACTATAGCTATTCAGCTGCAGGCTAAGGTTGACAAGGCTTCTAATTTTTCAGGAGTAGTGGGAAATTAGATTATTAAGTGAAGCATCTTGTGTTTTGCATTGAGGCCACCAATTCAAATGTTAAGTACTCTGCAAGGTTAAATAAAATTTGTTTACATCTGACCTGCAGGCCACCCGTTCCAGTCTCTGGAGGAACCAGGCAGTTGTTGTGGGCCACTTTAGGAAATGTAGGCTAGATTCTGAGAGCAGTGGGGATCCACTGAGGGACTTTAACCAGAGGCATGATATCCTGGCCTCACTGTGAAAGACCTGGTGGCTGCTGTCTGGAGAGCAGCAGAAGGGGAGATAGCAACCTCTTTGGAGGATGTTATCCTGTGAAGGGATGATAGGAAGATGAAGGAAGTCTGCAGAACTGAGATATGGGAGAAGGGATTGATGATGAATTAGAAAGATTAGGGTTATGGGGTCTAGGAGGACAGTCAAAGCAGCAGGTACTGAGAAAAATAGTGATACCTGAGGATGTCCCCAGTTCCTGTGAGTCACTCAGGGAAGTACCCAGCACACCCCACCCACTGTGTTCCCTTTGTGGCTACCAGGCATTCCTTTGTCACATGTGCCTCTCATGTGGGCAAATAGGACACACCTTGACCCTGAGAAACTGTAGTCTAGCTGGGAAAACAGATTGAAGACTGTTAAAGAGTTCAGGGTGAGAGCCTGGCCCAGAGCCAGTCCTGGAGGGCAGAGGCTAGGGTGAAAGAGACAGTGAACTTTCTGCCTGGGAGGCTTGTCCAAGAGGAACTGAGGATGACAAGGAGGTGAGGCAGGGGCAGGAATGGATTGCCCAGCAGAGGGCAGGAGGTGTGGTAGCCAGGAGTTAGTGGGTAAAGGGGAAGAATCCAGGAAGTGAATGCTCCTTCCCCGCATTTCATCCAAGAGGGAAGGAAGGCATTTCTTGACAGATAATCATTCCTTTGAACTTCCCTGCACATCTTGCTCAGTGGGTCTACTAATTAGAAGTAGATATTTATGGTGCCTCCTCTAGCCCCAGTTCCTCCTCCCTTGAGGAGCAACATTCTGTCAACAGTTTATGTGGTGCTGGGAGTTGAACCCAGACCCTCTTAAGTGCTACCAAGCTGCAGCTCCTGTTCCCATCAGAACATTTAAATTCTCCCCATGCTCATGTGTTTGCGTGCACACAAATGCACGCACGTATGTGTGTATGTCTGCAGAACCTGGGCCTCATATATGCCAGGACACTGTTCTACCACTGAGCTACACCCCCAGCCACTGTCCATATATTTTTTTGAATTCCCATGAGTCTTACTTCAAGTCAGCTAAGAGCAAGAGTTGCCAGGGAGGCTGGAAATGGGTGGTATACAGTGGAGCTCTAGTGCAAAGCCCCTAGGTTCAATCCCCAATCTAGTTTAAAAAAAACAAATAAAAAACCAAACCAAAACAAAAAAAAAAAAACCCAGAGTTGAATCCCAGAGTATCCTGAGGCTTTTCTGTTTTAAGGTCAAGTCCCAACCTCTTTGCTATTGTTGGGTGATGCTGTCCAAACCCCTAACCTAAGCCTGGTATGCAGTAGCAGATTGAATTTAGGAGTTGAGTGATTAGACCTTGTGAGCATGTGTGACCTCTGACACATGGCAGAGAAGAACGTGCCTCATGATCCTGGACTTCCTGGTCAGCATGTCCTTTGGTCCCCAGGGCCTGTGTTCTAAAGCTCAGAGCTTGCCAGATAAGTGGGGATGGAATTCAAAAGTGGAGGCCATGAGCAGGGGAACCAACTAGACTGGCTGTAATCCTAGCTCCTTTGTCCTTAAAATGGGGACAATAAATCCCTGCTTTGTTCACATCTGAAGTACTGAGTGCCACACATGGGCAGAAGGTGGATGTCTGTGCCTCCTCTTAGGAGGCTGGGAGCTGCTGCGTCCTCATCTCTTTTCATCCTCTGTGCTCTGCAGGGGTTCCAAGGACCAGTCATGTCTGCTCTGTACCCATCTCTGGAGGACCTGAAGGTGGACCAAGTCATCCAGGTAAGTCTGCAGGCTCTCTCAGCCTGGGGTCCCTGATGGAGGGCTGGGGCGTACCTAAGGTGACAAAGGGAGGCTTCCCTTGGAGGCTACAGAGTATGGAGTACTGAAACCCTGTACATTCCTGGAGGCCCCAGAGCATGCAGGTCCCCACCACAGGGCTTGCTGGGCAGAGAAGGCATCCAGAGAGCAAGGCTAGCAGAGTCACAGCAGGAGTGGAACAGACCAGGCAGATCCAGACATACCTCTCACATTCAGCTTTGTCCCTTCACTCTCTCTGTCCTTTATGCGAGACCCATGAGCAAGGCTGCTTGCACAGGATAGCCAATGGGCATGGGCTTTGCCTGCAGTCCCCAGAAGCCTCCTCCTCCCCCATTCCACAGTCCTGTGGTCCCAGAGGGTTTTGAGAATTTGGGCCTTTCCCATTGAGAATGTGGTTAGGAGGTGGGCTTTGCTGTCCTGGCTGCCACAGGAAGCAAATGTGTCATGACATTTGCTGGGTCACAGGGCCCAGGAAAATCTCCTCCCAGAAATATGCATATTTCCAGAGGCTACATTGTTTTTAAAAATGTATTTTTAAAAAATTATTGATATGTGATAAGTACATATTTACAGGGTACAATGTAGCATTTTAATACATGTGTATAATGTGTAGTGACCAGATCATGGTAATTGGAATAGTTATAACCTCAGGCACTCATCATTTCTTTGAGCTAGAAACATTAAAAATCCTTTCTCCCATTTTGAAATGTCAATTAATTGTTGTCAGCCTACTGTGCAGTCAAACCTTAGAGGGCATGCCTCCTATCTGACTGGTCCCTGCACCCATTAACCATCATCTCTACATCCTTCCCCTCCCCCACAGCCTTCCCAGGCTCTTGTAACCATTGTTCTATACTTCGTTGAGATCAACTTTTTAGCTTCCATGTGTAAATGAGAACACACAGTATTGTCTTTATGTGCCTGACCTATTTTACTTAACATCACCTAGAGGCTGCATTTACAAATGATCTGGAGCCTTGAACGTCCATGGACACACCCACCCCAGGCCCACCAACATATTTAGTGCTCAGCCTCCTCTGTCTCAGGGAGCCCCAGGACCCACAGGGCCCTGGGGTCCTGGCCACAATTGACTGGCACTTCCTGTTCCTTTCCAGGCCCAAACCAGAGCCTCGCCCAAGATGCTCACCTTGCCTATGCAGGAGGCAACTGGCTCCCCACCTTCAGGTGAGTAAGCCTGACATGAACATCCACACCACAACAGCCTCAGACAACATGCCAGGACTTTGAGGATTTTGCTCCCAGGCCCGGGTGAGGGGGCACTTGCCTGAGCCTGTGCACATTGGTAGCCCTGAGGATGTGGCTGCCCCTCTCTGATCATTTCCAATGCTTGCCTCTCTCACTCTGCCACTGTGTGAGGGCTTTGTGCAGTTTTTGCCCTCACCAGCACCCTCTGAGAGGACACTGGGAAAACTGGTTTAGAGGGAGCAGTATCTTCCTGATTTGGAACCACCATGGAAGGCCACATGAAGAGACAGGGGTTTCTGTGGTGCCCCCTAGTGGTGCTCATGGCAGTTTGGGGTCAGATTGTGGTATAGCAAACTTGAACAAAGGCCAGCTCTGTCCCTGTGCAGACTGCCTCCCTGGGGGCTTCCCTGGCTCTAAGGCCTGCCCCTTCCCAGTCATCTGTGAACCCCTCATGGCCTGGGCACTAGCACTGGATTTGTGTTGAATGTTGAAATCAGCTGAGTTGAATAAACAAAGAAGTACCTGAAGGACTCCAGGTCCCAAGGTGCTCCTGGACAAAAGCAGACCCCTCCACACCTCAGACACTCTGAGGGGACGACCCACATCACCAGCAAATGTTCCTGGGCATTCAAGGCATTCTGGGGAACACAGCATTTGTGGCAATAAGTGGCATGTCTTGTGCTCGCTTCGGCAGCACATATACTAAAGTGGCATGTCTAGGTTCTACTCTTACTAAAAATAAGAGGCCAGGCAGGAGTCAGGCAAGGGCAGCTAAGCATAGGCCCTTCAGTAACACCTTTCCTCCTCTTCTCCATCAGTTCTGTACCCAAACTTGGGAGAACTGGAGAGCTACATGGGTCTTTCCCTCTCCAGCCAACAAATCCAGCAGAGCCTGCTTCAGCTCCCAGAGGGTGACAATGTAGGTATTTATCTCCTGACTAATATGAACATAGACTGTCCCAACCCTCCTTCCTGTGGGTCTTGTCATTTCAGCAAACTCCCCTTTTCTCTCTGTTTGAATCTCTTCTTTCCCCCGGCTTTCTTATTTAGGGCTCTGTTTCTTGATAGTACTTTTGATTTTTGAGTTTTCATTAAAAACTCTGGGATTCAGACTGGTGAGATTCCATGGAAGAATCTGGATGTTACGAAAGAGGCAATGGTTCAGGCAGAGGAAGCTGCTGCTGAAATCACCAGGAAGCTGGAGAAACAGGAAAAGAAGCGCTTGAAGAAGAAAAAGAAGTGGCTGGCTGCACTGGCTGCTCTGGCATCTTCAGAAAACGGCAGTACTCCAGAGGACACACATGAAAAACCCAAAAAGAAGAAAAAGCAAAAGCTCCAGGAGGCTCCTCAGGAGAATGGAATGGATGATCCATCTGTCTCGGTCTCCAAACCCAAAAAAAAGAAATCTTTTTCCAAGGAAGAGCTGGTTAGTAGTGATCTGGAAGAGACAGCTGGTGGTGGCATAAGTCCACCCAAGAGGAAAAAGTCTTTGTCCAAGGAAGAAACCACTAGTGAACCCAAAGAGGAAGCCAGCAGGAGTGTCCCCAAGAAAAAGAGAAAATTTCCTTCCAAGGAAGAGCCAGTCAGCAGTGGGTCTGAGGAGGGTGCTGCCAGCAAGGGCAGTGCCAAGAAAAAGAAGAAAAAGCTCCAAAGAGCACCCCAGGAAGATTAGAATGGACATTCCCTGGGAGGGAGGGGTGGGATGTGCCCCAAGGAAACATTTCCCATCCCTAATCTCCAGTCAATAAAAACAAATCACACACACACACACACACACACACACACACACACACACACACACACAAACTTTTGGGATTCCATGATTTCATGTCTTCACTGACCCTTGACTTGTGACTTCAAGCTGTGGCCCGAGCCAGATGGATGAGAAGAGGGAGAAGAGGGAGTATTAAACCCAGAATGAGCTTAGGGGCATTTGACAATGGGCTGCCTGTGACTCAGAAGCCAAAGTAAGAGCATGTTGCCCAGCCTGGTCCCCAGGTTAAACAAAACTGGTTGATTCCTGCTTTGCGTGGTATCAGAGAACAAAAGAAACCATCACACAGAAGTAGTCCCTACTGAAAATGTATTCACGTATAGACTCAGTCCCTACTCAAGACCCTTTCCAATCAATGCTAGCATCTGTCAGGGTCTCTGTCCACCAGCCTCTTCTGGAGTCCATGAAATCTATTGTAAGGTGCGGTTGCTCTTCTTGCCTGAGGCTACAGGCTTTCATGAAGTTGATAGAAGTGACAGTGAAGAACTGCCATATAAAGCCACTGATAAATGAAGTCTGACAAGAGAGATTCAATAAGGATGAGGACATATGAGACCTTGAGAAAAAATTGGTGACACTTTAGAGCGTTTCTCTACAATAACACTCCCTTTTTTCTTTGTTTTGATTTTTGAGACAAGGTCTTGCTATGTAGTTCAGGCTGGCCTTGAACTCACTGCATAGTCTAGGCTGGCATCAAACTCGTGGTGTGCCCCAGCCTCCTGAGTGCTGATGTTACAGGTGTGTGCCACTACCCTCAGCTACAATAACACTCTCGATGGTTATGCTGTGAGATACAACCATAAAGCAAGGAAGTCGCCTTGGATACCTCTTATATCTCAATATCTCTTGGTTTAATCATTCTTTGTCCTAATAATTAGGACATAAAAAGATTCAACCTAAGTTTTAGTAAAAATATGAGATAATAAATGCATTTTTTGTAATTTTAGACTTTCTACATTATTTTCATTTTTGTTTGAATTCTTTTAGCTATTTTAATTCCACTGACTTTCCATTTAAAGTTTCGTTTAACCTTGTCTATATCTACAAAATGTCTTGTTGACATTTTGATAGAAATTCTGTGATATTTGTATATCAATGTGAGGAAAGTTGAGAGTTTTATTGGTTCTCTCAATCTATAAATACATATGATGTGCTTATTTAGGTCTTTTCTGATAATATCTCTCAGTGCTTTGTCATTTTTGGTATATAATTTATATACCAGTTCTGTTCGATTTTGTTGTTGTTGTTATGTTGAGACAGGGTCTCGCTATGCAGTTCAGACTGGCCCTGAGCTCATTATGTACCCCAGGCTGGCCCCAAACTCAAGGTGATCTTCCTGCCTCAGCCTCCTCCATGCTGAGATTACGGACATGTGCCACCATCCCTGGCTTTGTTCTTTAGATTTATACCTAAATATCTCCTTTTTTTGAGTGGTTACAACTGGTATTGTATTTTTAATGTCAGTTTCTGCTTATTCCTTGTTAGCACACAGAAGTACAATCGATGTTTTCATTTTTTAATTTTGAGGCCAGGTCTCTCTATGTTACCTAGGCTGTCCTTGAACTCTCCAGTTGAAGCACTTCCTCTGCCTCAGCCTTCCTAGTAGCTGGGCCTACAGGTGTATGCCACTTTGCCAAGCACAGTTTATTTTTGTATGTCGACCTTGTATCTGTGACAATGCTGAACTCATTTATTAGATGCAAGAGTTTATCTGTAGATTCCTTGGGATTTTTAAAAATTTGTTTTTATTAGTACGTATTTGCCATACACACTGATCACATTCATCATAGGGAATTTGTATATGTAAATAATATGTCTTAATTCTTCTTTTTTTTTCCCATTCCCCTCCCCTCCTTTCAACCCTTCTTCCCTTCCCTATTTACAAAAGTTTTCTTTCCATTTTTTCCTTCTATTCTCTTTTTTAAAATCCCTTTTCCCTTCTTCCCTTTGTCCTCCCCTCTCCCTTGTTCCCCTTCTTATTTGAAAATGTTCTTCCTACTTCCCAATATCTATCTTCTGTTTTGCTCCTTTTTACCCTTTGGATTTCTTACACATGATATTTGTGATATTTAAACTTGTGAGTCTCATTTATTTCATTCAAAGTTATGGTCTCAAGGCACATTCATTTACCTAAAAATGACTCAAGTTTATCCTTTATGGCAGAATAGTACTCCATTGTATATAAATACCACATTTTCTTTATCCATTTATCCATTGATGGGCATATGGGCTGTTTCCAAGATTTAGCTATTGCAAGTTGTACTGCTATAAATATGGGTATACATATATCATTGTAGTATGATGCTTTTAACTCTTTTGGGAAGATACTTAGAAGGGGTGCAGCTGGGTCAAATAGAACCTCTAGTTTTGGTTTTTAAGGAATCTCCATACTGATTTCCATAGTGGTTGTATCAGTTTACAATGAAGAAGGGTTCCTTTTCCCCCACAGCGTCATCAGCATTTTCTTTCTTTCTTCCTTCCCTTCCTTTCTTTCCTTCCTTCCTTCTTTCTTTTTTTCTCTCTCTCTTTCTTTCTCTCTCTCTCTTTCTTTCTTTCTTTCTGGTTGATTTCTTCTAGCCACTCTTTCTAGAATGAGATGGAAACTCAGTGTTGTTTTAATTTACATTTCTCCAATGACCAGTGACATTGAACATTTTTTCATGTATTTATTTGCTATTTGTACTTTTTTCATTTGAGAAGTGTCTATTCATTTCAGATGCCCATTTTTGGATTGGGTCTTCAAATTTGGGAAGGCTGTTTTTTTTAAAGTTCTTTATATAGTCTAGATGTTAGTCCTTTGTCTGAGGAGTAGCTAGTAAAAAAATTTTTCCACTCTGTTGGTTGTCTCTTCACTCAGTCGGTGTTTTCTTTTACTGTGCATCCTTGGGATTTTCTAGTAAACCATCATATCATCTGTGAATAGGAACAGTTGTATTTTTTCTTTTATAGGTTTGTGTGCCTTTGTGTTTTTCTCTTCTTGCCTTATTGCACTGGCTAGATTTTCCAGTACTATGTTTAATAGAGTAGTGAGAATTAACTTCCTTGCTTTGTTTCTGCATCTTAGGAGGAAGCTGTCATCAATTTCTTTCTGGCTTAAATATTTTCCAAAACAAAAATCAAATTGAGCCCTTTTACACCTCATTGCTCATCATTTACTCTAAACGGTATTTCTACTTTTAGTGAACTTTATTTAAAAATTGTATTAGTGCCATACATGTTTGGAGTACATAATTATTACATTCATCTTGGCGAGTTGATACATGTGCATTAACACATGGTAATTATTTTTATATCTCCCCCCGCCTCCTTCCCTAGTGAAAGATCTTAAAGGGATCTTTTCCTGATATTAATTTCCCTTGGAAAATAAGGGACCCACCCCACTTCCTTTCTGCTCACCCCCCCCACCCCCCCACCCCCTTCAGTTTAAAAGGAGTGGACTCTGATGCCCTCTAGTGGCGTCATGAAGCCACACTCTCTCCCAGTTTCTCCCAGTAATGTGGTCGGAGGTGGGGTTGGGCCTGGGGTCTGCGCCGTTCTCCTTTGCCCATCCCTACGGCCTATCCCCCGCCTCCGCCCACACTGACCCCTGGTGTCCAGGACCCCAGGGGCCAGACTGACCTCATGCCCCCTGGTGCCTGCAGACGGCGGTCTCTGGGCCCTGGCCCGGCCAGCTGGTGGCGCCGGTGTCCGGGAACAACCTGGGCATGCGGCGTGCGGAGATCAAGTCTGGAGTGCGGGAGATCCACCTGTGCAAAGATGAGCGTGGCAAGACTGGGCTGCGGCTGCGGGCCATAGACAAGGTAGGCAGGGCGGGAGCAGCGGAGTCCGGAGGGTGGCGATGATGCTGGACAGCGCCTGCCTCAACCCTAGCTGCCTTGGGGGTACAATTGGTCACAGCCTGAAAGGGGCAGTGCACAGGGACCCACCTCTCCTTGGGCTCAGAGAACCAGTCTATTGTAAAGAAGGTGCAGACCTCACCCAAGGACCCACGTGCTAGGTTGCAGTAGGAACGCAACGGGTCTTCCTGGGCTCCTGTCACTCAGATCTCCATTTTCCCGGCCCCAGCTTCCAGGGATCTGGGTTCCTGGTGCTGTGGACAGAGGAAACCAAGTTAGCCAGATGCCTTTGGGAGAGAGGGTGCAGTAGAGTGGCTGGGGGTGCAGCCTCTGGGGATAAAATCCAGACACCCTATGTGGTCTGGTGCCTGTCGTCTCAAGCGTGTGTTATACCTGCCACAGAGTTGCAGTCCTGATGCCTGGTAGGCTCCCAGAGTATTAGGAGAAAAATGACAGCTCTTAGAAGGGGCCTGGGATCAGAGCGGCCAGGGGAGCTGACTCGGCCCTGCCTCTTCCAGGGGCTCTTCGTGCAGCTGGTCCAGGCCAACACCCCTGCATCCCTGGTGGGGCTGCGCTTTGGGGACCAGATCCTGCAGATTGACGGGTGTGACTGTGCTGGGTGGAGCACAGACAAAGCCCACCGGGTGCTGAAGAAGGCTTCAGTAGAGAAGATTGTCATGGTTGTTCGGGACAGGTGAGTGACAAGGCCCCAGAATCCTCTCTGAGGGAACCTAGCCACCCCTCCAGGCCCAGCTTACTGTCTTTTCTGCCAGGCCATTCCAGCGGACAGTCACGATGCACAAGGATGGCTTGGGCCATGTTGGCTTCTTCATCAAGAAGGGGAAGGTTGTGTCTGTGGTCAAAGGGAGCTCTGCGGCCCGCAACGGGCTCCTCACCAGCCACTGCATATGCGAGGTGAACGGGCAGAATGTCATTGGACTGAAGGTAGGCAGTGACCATGCCTCACAGAGACTGTGAGGCTGGGGAGGCTCCTGTATGAACAGGCTGTGGCCCTGCCAGCCACAGCTTCCTCCTCCAAAGGTTGTTGTGGGATTCAGTAAGACCATGACTAAGAGCTCTGATCACAGTGCCAGGTACATAGTGAGTACTCAGAAGAATCAGCCACTGTTAGTAACCTTGGAGAGTGTGGCAAAAAGAGGGGTGAGGACACAGGCACCCAGCTGGCTACAGGCTGTGTGGAGACCTCTGTCCAATGACACCTCTTTACTCCGCTTGGCACTTCTATTTGTATGTTGATAATATTTAGTGATAGTTTTTTTTTTATAAAGCAAATTGTTCAGAAATCCATTTCTGACTTTTGTTCATTTTTTAAGGTGGGTGCAGGTGGTACCTTTCATCTAAAAATCAAGAAGGTACTTTTGGGCAAGGTGATGCATGCCTATAACCCCAGCATTCTAGGAGGTTGAGGCAGGAGGATCACAAGTTTGAGCCTAGCCTGGGCAACACAGCAACTTTGTGAGATCCTATCTCAAAATAAAGGAAGGGTTGTGTGTGTGTAGGGGGGTGGCTCCATGCAAATGGGGGTTCAATCCCTATTACTGGAAAAGAAAAAAATAAAAAAATCCAGAAGGAGCAAGTGGTCTGGGGTGAGGTACTCTCAGGATGTGGGCTCTCAGGGGGAAGAGGCCACAGATGATGACGAGTCTTGGTTTTGGTCCAGAGTAAGTGAAATGGCTTTATCCTGATTTGATGCCACTCTGACGGAGAGTGGCTGTCTGCCCCAGTTGGGTAGTAGAGTGAGCTGCTCTCTGCCACAGCTCTGGCACTCATGGGGCAAGGCTTCCGCCACAGAAGTGGCATGGGTGGCAGCATCTCACTCCACTGCTGATACAGCCATTCTTGTCACCAGCCTGCTTCCTTGTACCTCAGTCTCCCCCGTCTTCCTCAGGGGCTTGTTCTGGCAGCTCATGACCATTGTGGTCAGGAAGCTCTCCCTAATATCTGCCTACAATCCTTCTTACTGTGCCCTTTCCCCTTTGTCTGGGATCAGGTATGACAGTTCAAAGGAAACCCACCGTACTTAAAAAGCTGAGAGCTGGGTGTGGTGTTACATGCTTGTGATCCCAGTACTGGGGAGGCTGAGACAGGAGGATTGCTGTAAATTCAAGGCCAACCTGGGTTACATAGTGAATTCAAGGCCAGCCTGTCTCAAAAGACCCTGTCTTAAAAACAAACAAAACTAAGTACAGCCATACCAATTCTGAATTAAGTCAGGTGTTTGGATATGAGTGAATTCATCTGTTTTAAAGTATTATAGTTCTTCAACCTTAACTGCTCTGGAGTGCAGTCATGGTAAGATGTGATTCATCTGCACAGATAGCTCCAGGCATCATTGCAAATTTACCAGCTACTCTACCAAGTCATGGCCCCGTGGGGCTCTTAGGGACAGCCCTTCCACTGAGTGGCTCCAGATAGCTCCTCTCTTCCTCTTCTTCCTCCTCTTCCGTCTCTTCTTCTTCTCTTCCCACCTTCTTTTTTTCTTTTCTTTTTTGTTTTTTGGCTTTTTAAGACAAGTTCTAATTATGTACTTCAGGCTGGCCTGGAACTCAAAGTGATTCTCCTGCCTCAGTCTCCAGAGTGCTGGGATTACAGGCACGCACCACCACACCCAGCCTGATAGCTATATTTCTTGAGATCGTTTATCATTTTGAAGTTTTATTTATTTCTACACTGTGGCCACCACTAGTTCTGACCTATCTCCTATTTATTTTGGAATAATTAGACAGCACATAACCAGATTACATATATGTGTAAAGTAAAGGTCACCAGGCAGCTTGGCCCTGTGGGTGGTTGTCAGTGGCATCCTCTAGCAGCAGCCACCACACAGAGGGTCCTGCAGTATGGCCCCTGGCCCACAGGTGACCATGTACTCACCTCCTCTCCAGGACAAAGCAATCATGGAGATACTGGCAACAGCTGGAGATGTCATCACCCTGACCATCATTCCCGCTGTGATCTACGAGCACATGGTGAAAAAGTAAGGCTGTCATCCCTCCTCTGCTTTTCCTCTTCCCTGCCTCCTGGAGCTTACCTGGGCTCCCTGGTGCTGATCTATCCTCTCCCCTTCTCCTTTCCTCCAAGGGGGATGATGTCTTATGGAGATTTAGAAGTCTCAGAATTGGGGGTGAATGGCCATAGAGGGTGCACAGGCTTGGGAGGTGCAGGGAGAAGGAGCTGCCAGTTTCAGCCACCATTACTTTGTTATATCCAGGTTGTCCCCGATGCTGCTCCACCACACCATGGACCACTCTATCCCAGATGCCTGAAGCCACAGCAATGCAGAACAGGCCCCCTACCTCTTTGCAAGGAAAAGCGGTGGCCTCAGATCACAGGTTGCTGCCTGGGTTGGGTGTCTTGTGGCTGTTCTGGGTGGTATTCCAGGTGGGTGGACATGGGCTGGCAGGAGTCTGTCATCTGTGCCCACAGGCCTCCTTGGAGCCTCAGACCCTCAGCTGGGCTATGGCTCAGACAGGGCCCATAGGCTGCCAATTGAAATGCCAGGCGTGTAGGTAGGCCAATGCTGCCTAGACTTCAGCTGGGTCCTTTCAAGATTTGGCCTCCACCAGGAAAACTGCTATACATTTTGAGAAAATAGAACTCCATTCTTGGCAAGAATGTTTTATTCACCTTTACTTGCTCCTTGTCACTATAAAATTTATATAGTTATGATCCTTTGCTATCTTTTGAATAAAGATTTGATTTTAAACATAATCCCTTCCTAAATGTTAACTGGAAATTCCAGAATCCTTGGTGCATGACATGACAGAGCTGTTTTCCTTTCAAACAGTGGGGAGACCAGGGCACTTTCTACATGTTGCCTCAGAGCAGTGACTTGGCTCAGCCTCTACTCCAGGCCAACTGCCAGTCTGGTGCAGGGATGAGTGGAACTGGGGGCCACAAGCTGGCACTGGCTTTGGGGCCCCCCACTAAGGATCCATGTTTGCTTCTGCATCTGTTAAATGGAGGGAGAAGTCCTTTCGTGGGTATTGGGAGGAAGAAATGCAACATCTTTATACTGTCCAGCAGGTTCTGACATCTGGCAGCAGAGGAAGGTGGCTCTCTACTCTGTGGCTGACCTGCGTGGACAGTGGTGCCCCAGCCACATTCATCAGGGGCTGGTAGGGTCGAACCAGCACATGGTCCTCTGCTGCCCTCTGTGTGGGAGGAAAGACAGTGTGAGCCCTCTAGTCCCCTTAGAAAAGTGACACAGGACAAAGAAACTAGGCCAAGGGTCTTATGGTGTGTTCATGCTTTAATTCAGAGCTCTGTGGTGCAGGTACAACTTTGTCTGAACAAAAGGACAAGGAGATGAGAGTCAAGACCCCTCCCCACCTCCCTCCTTCCTACATCCCCTAAATTCTTGGTCAAGGGGATGGCCAAATATGAGAGTACACTGTGACCGTTTGCATCATCTCCTGGGTCAGAAAGGGAGTTGAGAGTTCCCTGGGCAGAGGGCCCCAGGAGGGGAGGCCTTTGCCCTGGAACCTTGTGATCTGCCCCCCACCCCAGAGTGTTGTCAGATACTCCTGTGCTAGTGGCAACTGGGAAGGGTGTTCAATGAAAAGCTAAGCTATTCCCTCAGGAAACATTTGTCATAAACTCTGCTCAAGGCCAGGTCTTTGTGCAGAAGCCCAGGCCCAGCTCCCAAGTCCTGCCTGGGCCTGGGCCAGAGGGAAAGCAGCACTGCTGTGGCCCTGGCCCCAGAACTAAGGAAGAGCCACCTCTAACCACTGGGCTCCAAAGTGACCAGCAGTTTCAGAAGGTGGTTTCCTGGGGACACTGTTCCTCAAGACCTAATCAGCTGTGGCTGGAGGATGAAGAGTGGGGAGGCCCTGAAGATTTCTGCTCCAGAAGCTGAGGGCAGGAGGAAGTATCAAGCAGAAGGAAAGGGCAGCTACAGAGGAGGAGAACTCTCCAGAGGGTCCTGGCCAGGCCTAGCCTCGGCCTCCCAGCCCCCCGTGTGCCAGCTAGCCAGGGCTATAGCCAAGCCAGCAGCCCACTGCATGCCCTCCCCTGGGGCTGCACAGGCAGTTCTGGCCCTTTGCATAGATGCAGGATACTGAGCACATGTATGCTCAGAGGCTGGGCCAAGGCTGCCAGCCCAGGGGCTGCCCTAGGCCTGGGGGTGAGCTGCTTTCTCTACTGGCAAGAAAGAGAGCCCACTGAAGGCCCCACTAGAACCCACAAAAAAGAGCCCCCTCAGTGCTATGGGCTCAGGCCCCTGTGACCCACACAGTCAGGGCTTGGGCCAGAGTAGGAGTGGAGGGCAGCAGCCAGGTCCCCCTCACCTTCTCTGGTGGCCTCGGGCCCATAGCCCAGGCCCACCCATGGCCCAGCCCTTACAAGTGGCTTCTCTAACAGCAGGGTCAGGGTGAACAACAACCCCAGCACTGCCCACACCCACCAAAACACAGGACACGATAGGAAGGCCACAAACAGTGAGACACGGACAGGAGCAGTGGGGTTGCAAAGCTTGACTAAATTCCAGTGGTGAAAAATATATAGATTTTATGTTGTCAAATATAGTTCATACATTTATTTTCTCAGCAAAGCTTTATTTCTAAGGAGATGCTATGCAGCTCCATGGGCACAGGGCACAGGAGGCTGGGTCTGTGACCAGTCCTGGCTTGGCTTTGGGTTGCTTTGGTCCCCTGCCCCATCCATGGCATGACCTCAGTGTCCTGTGGGGCACCTGCAGCCAGGCCCCAGGCACTCGGGTTTAGTTCAGCCAAGGGCAGGGTGGTCCACAAAGGAGGGCTGGTCTGAGGCCCCAGCTGAGGCGGGGGAGGTTTGGAGGCACGAAGCGTGTCGCAGAGAGGGCTCTGGCCCAGATGGCTGGGCTGGCTGCCCACCCCCAGTGCATGCAGGTGCCCTCTGCAGGGAGGGCACAGAGTAGACGGGCAGAGCCCACCAGTCAGGCAGTGGCCATTGGGGCCTCAGGATGAGGGCAAAGTACCTTGGCAGAGAACCAGAGTAGCCCCTAGGCCAGAGGGTACATGAGACATAGGTCTCATCAACTCCTCCAATGTAGGACCTAACCTCTGCTGAATGGGTGGGATGCCCAGATGGGTGTAACCCCCATGGAGGAAGAGGAAGGAGTTTACTTTGTAAACTAATAATGGTAATAAAATTTCAGCAGTTTTGCTGGGGGACTCAGATGTGGTCCCAGGGAAGGTGAGGAATAGTGATCCTTCCCAGGCTGACCTGGGTTGGGCTGGGAGCAGGTGGCCACAGGGCTTTTCCTGCCCTGTCGTGTTCCTGCCTGGGAAACAAGTCCCAGGGGACCCTGCTTTGGCCTGAACAAATGTCATGGCTTCCATACCCCATCCTGAGAGTCATCCTGCCAGAATTCTCTGCTTCCCCCAGAGGCAGGCAGGTAGATTTAGGGACCCTCATCCCAGAAAGCAAGTAGCCACTCCCAGGGGTCTTTGGGATGGGGGAGAACCAATCCCCAAAGTGAACACAGTGCAAGGCAGAGGTTGACCCAGAGGCCCCTTGAAGAAAGGTGGGCAAACTCCAGGGGCAGCCATGGCCTCTGGCATCTCAGAACAGCCAAGGATTCCTGAGTCCAGCCACAACCCTGGATGACAGATGAAGTGGCCTCATTGGAGAGGGTGCAGGGCCCCTGACACTCCCAGCCCTGCCTCCCCTATGCTGGCGGATCTCCCAGTGGATGCCAGGGCTTGGATGAGTGCTCCCTCCACAGCACTCATCTGACCAGGCTTGGCTCTCTCTCTCAAGGAAGAGCAATCTAACATACCCAGAAGCCAAGAGGAAAATAGATCATGGGGAGGAACTGGGAGGACAGACAGACACAGAACCCACCCTGCCCTCAGCCCTTCATGCCTGGCATGCTGTTCCACCAGCTATGGCCTCTACTTCTGAATCTGGGGAACAAGGGGGAACGGGGGGAGGCTGCAGCTCCAATCCAGGCTCAGGGGTTCCAGACCCTGCTCAAAGTGCTTGGGTCAGTTTTCTGCACGTTGCCATAGCTGTCTCTGAGGACATAACACTGGCTCAGAAGCCTGGCAGAGGGCAAGGTGGCTTGGGAGAGAAGGTATGGAGTGGGCAGGGTACTGGACAGGATGGAGCAGGGAGGGGAGGGTCCCCAGATAATCCAGCCAGAGACTTCCTGAGCAGGGCCCACCCTGTCTAAGGGCTGGGTGGACAGCGCAGCTGGGTTGGGGGCCTCAGAAGTGTCTCTGTGCGGTTTGTCCAATCAGTGTACTTCCCTGCCTTGAGTCTTCCTTACCCTTCTCCCTCTGGAAGTTTTGGGAAGTCTTTCCCAGCCCCTGACACTGTTAATATCCAGGAAAGAAAACTGTTCTAAACCCAAAACTAAGTAAATAAGATGATGCCTGTGGGGATATGGAAGGGGGAGGACAGCGTCCCTACAATCAGTGGTCAGGCTGCCAGAGCGCTGTCTGGGATGGGGCAGCCACCTCAGAGCTGGGAGCTACTGCTTGCTGAACTGGGCCCTGAGTGGGCTAGAGAGCGGCAGCTCATCCTGCGGATGGAGTGCAAGGCCACAGTGCAGCAGCCCCGCAGCAGGGAGCTGATGTTGTAGATGGGCTGGCCCTGGCGTCGCTGGGAGCGGCAAAGCCAGGCTACTGTGGGCATGGCTGGCACCACCACAGCCAGAAGATCCACGATGTAGTGGCGACTCCAGTAGCTCTTGGGCTCCTTTTCAGCTGTAGCCGCAGGCGTGGCCACCTCCTCCTCCTCCTCCTCCACAGGGCATACCACACTCACCGACAGACCAGGGTTGGGGTTGGCTCCAGGCCGGTGTACAGTGGGCCCATGGGTGATGGCCTGCGGGACCTCAAGCTCATCACCCATTGTCACCACCACTGCTGAGTTGGGGTCTCTGGGCCCTGGGGGGTGGGAATCTGACTCTGGGTGCCTGTCCTCAGGGACTGTCCCACAGCCCTGGGCCTGTGTCACTCTCTCCAGGATGGTGTCCAGGTCGGGTTGGTAGTGCACAAAGTCTGTCTGGATGGCCCGCTCCTGCATGCAGCTGGCCTGCACACCAGCTTCTGTGGCACACAGAAGCTTCTCATAGGTGTTACTGGCAGGGAAGCGGGCACCCAGGCTGAAGGAGCTGTGCAGCGAGGCCTCCTCAGGGCCACAGTCCACCCCTGATGACAGCAGGCTGCTGGCCTCTAGAGCGTCAGTCCGGCTTAGTGTGTCATCAGCAGCCACAAAGCCACTGTCGGTTCCATCTTCAGCAGAGGCGGAGGGATCACCAGGCTGGTGGTCACCGCAGACAGCTGGGTCACTCAGCTTGGTATAAGTGGAACTGCGGGTGAGGGAGCGGGCAGGGGAACCACCAGCCGACTCCCCAGTGCCCTCCTCCTTGGCCATGCCATTCTGGGCCACCTCCATGCTGTGCAGCAGCGTCTCTAGCTTCTTGTTCTGGATGTTGATGTCCACAAAGTATTTCTGCAGCCCCTTGTCTTTGTCAATCAGGTTGTTTTTGACAGTGTCAATGACCTGTTTGAGCTGTTTGATTTCCTTGCGGGCTTCCTTCAGGGCTAGCTGAGCCTCCACACGGTGGCATTCCTCCTCAATCCAGTCCTCCTGCATGCGTGATAGCTGTGTCTTCAGGTCATCGATCTCTGTGTCCCTGCAAGCAGAAGAGACTCTCACTCACTGCCTGCCTGCCTGGCCTGTCACCATCACCACAGAGAGGCAAGAAGTGACAGTGTCATCAAGGATAGGGGTCCCTGCACGGCAGAAGTTCAGAGTTAGAAATGAAAGAGGGGACTTGGTGCCTAATACCCCTTGCTTGTATCCCACAGGGAGCAGTGAGGGTGCTTGAGTGAAGGCAGGCGAGGCCTCCTCCTGGGAGAGAAAAGAAATGTCAATCAAGACACCACCCATTCCTATCCCTAGAGGCTGAACTGCAGATGACTTTCAATTCATCATCTGGAGAAGAGATGAAACAAAGATTCTTATAAGTGCTACTTCTGTAAAAACCTAATAAAATCTTAATATAAACCAATAAATATAATATAATATAAAGAGTAACTAGACAGAAAACCTCTGCTCTATTGAAAGGAATGTGGCCTCCTTCCATGCTTTGGGCATGAACATTTTATTATTTATTTTTTATTTTTCGATACCAGGGATTGAACTAGAGACTTTGCACTTGCAAGGCAGACAGCGGAACCACTGAGCTAAACCCCTGGTCCTACGCATGAACATTTTAAATGGATGGAGATGTGGCCAGAGACCCTGGGGGAGATGGCAGTGGCATAAGAGGATGACAACCCTCAGTGTTGATGAGGGGAGCTGATAATTTCACATCATCTCTCAAGCAGAGGGATGAGAAGTGGTAGATGAATCAGAGGGGGTGAGAAGAACAGGATGGCTCTTTTTCATCCATGCCAGAAGTTTTCTTCTTTATGTCTACAGTTAAGAGGGTGGCTGAAAGATAGACAAAGAAGGCACGAAGATACTATTATTGAGACAAGGGGCAAGCGTCAAGGAAATATGACCATTGGAAGGCTCTTGGCCATAAATGCTCAGGCTTTTCCAAATCCCTGAGTTTCAGATGAAGGGGTTGGAGGAAAGGCAGGCAAGTTTGAAAAACATGCCATTGAGTCTGGAAGCAAAACCAGGGCAAGACTGAACAGAGATTGAATGAAAGAAGCAAAAGTCAGAGGAAAATCATTCACCAGCTTAATCTTCTACCTGGACACTGTCCCCTCACCATGCAGCTGCTCAGCCCAAGCTCCAGGGTCAAAGGAACAAGATCTACAAATGGTATGGCTGTCACTGGGAGATTTTGGGCTCACCACAGTGACTGTCCCACATCAAGCACCAAAGTCAGATTGGAAATTCCACTCAGGAACTGGGCCAAGGAATCTCACTCTACATTTTGCTGAAGGGACTGGGGCCGAGGAGTCTCATCAGTCCACAATAGTCTCCACAACATCCTCTGGGAGGGGGCCTATCACACAAAGGACTCAGCAGTGCAGTGGGGGCAGTTGAGCTGCTTACAGTGGTGATGGCAGATGTGCTAGTAGGTATGGGGGGATGCTTGTTCATCATTAACTCTGCTTCAGCCTCGGATTCCCTGCAGAGAACCCTCCTGGCTTCTCTCCCTACTCCTCACTCACACTTCAACCTGGGAGAAGTGAGTTTGGAAGAAGGCACTGGGCATGCTCAGTGTGGCTCGTCCTTGCTTCTCTCTCCTTGGTGCCACCCAGATCCTACAGAGCAATGGCTTCCCAGTCCTGTCCATGCCTCCCTCAGTGGATTCCAAGACATTGCATAAGAACTGGATCATGAAGGATGTGGTTGCTAAGGGGGCATGATGGAGGAAGGGCACCTCAGGTAGTAGGGACACTGCATATGGATGCAAAGAGGTAATCGCACACATGGCATCTTCAAAGAGCAGAAAGTAGGCTACTGAGGGAAGTACTGAGGGCATGAGGAACATGGAGGAGTAGCATGGCCACAGGCTCCTTCAAGAGCCACAGAGTGATCTGGACTGAGGTGTAAACACGCTTACCACAGGGCATCCTGCCCAAACCGCTCAGGGCAGGTAGTCTGGGTTAACCTCGAAAGGAAGCTGGGATATGGCCCTCTGCTCCCTGAGGATATTAGTGCAAAAGGCTAAGCAGACCCTGGGCATAATTGGGAAGATGACAGGAAATGAAAGTGGAAATCCTAGTTCTAAGACAAAGAGGCCAACGCAATGCTGCCCTGAGCTCCTGTACTTCCAAACAACACATCCAAAATGGACTGTCTGCTAGGTAGGGCTGTGGTCAAGAAAGACATGGCCATGTGTACTGCATTATGAATTGTCCAGAAGAGACAAATCCATACAGACAGAGATAGCAATGGTTTGCAGGGATGGAGGGGTGGCCTCCAGGTAGGTGGAGGATAAGAATTCATCCCATAAGGCCAGGGATTTAGCTCAGTGGTTCCCCCGCCTGCCTAGCGAGTGCAAGGATCGGAGTTCGATCCCCGGTACCAAAAAAAAGGAATTCATCCCATAGCTGAGGAGACATGGGGTGGGGGGAGGGGCTTTCTGTCGGGAGCAATGCTACATAATTTTAGGGTAAAATCATTTGGTTAGCCTAGTTCTCCTGCCTACAGCCCAGCTATGGAATTATGAGACATAACTCCATTTTGGCCTCCGGTCACAACTGAGACCTCAATGATCCAATGATGCTGTGATTCTCCAGGACAAGAAACATCCTGAGAGCTGAGAACATCCTGGGAGAACACACATCTACTCAGTTCCTCATTGTTCTTAGATTGTTACATCTTGTTTACCCAGGATGTTCTGAACTCTCTGCAAGTCATTTGTTACATTTGTTTCTCCCCATGTACTGAATAAAAGATGGGGTAAACTGGGGCCTTTCGTCTTTGCTGCCCAGAGCAGCACTGATCAGACCCGAAGCTCAGCTTCTTCTCAGTCTCATTTTTCTACCTTTCCTGTAATTCGCCATGTACTGCCGTGGCTTGCAGCAGACTAGGACTTACTGCAGAGGTTCTGGTAATGTCCCCTTTCCCTGTTCCCTACAGCTTTGCTCTTTGGAGCCCTGGATGTGCAGGCACAGCTGCTGTGCAGGCAAAGCTATCTCTATACCCATTCCCTCTCCAATGCATGCTTTCCTTGCCCACCCTCATGTGCACAGGTGGGAGGCTGAGGGGACAGCCCCTTGCAGGAAAACTGCTTCCCATTTGGCCTGAGCAGTGACCTGGAGCAGCCAAAGAGAGTTGGGGGGAGGTCTACAATGAGTTTGGACAAGCTGTTGCTGGGAAGGAGAGAGTGGGTGAATGGTGGAAAACCCCAGCCACTCCTTCCTTCCAGAGCACTCCAGGGCCCTGGTTCCTCTGGATGTGGAGCTGGTAGGTAACCCCATGGCTGCCCTAGCTGCATGCTCACCGGTCCTGGAGCCGGTCCTGTGTGTCCTTCAGCCGCGCCTTCAGGTGCCGGATGCACACCTCTTTCTGCTGCAGGGGGGTCAGGTACTGCTCCGGGGTGGGGGGCTTGATGCCATGGTTGTCACTGCACAGTGTGTACTTCATGGAGCGCCTGCAAGTGGATGCCCATCACAGGGGTGAGGGACGAAGGAGCAAGGCACAGGTGCTGCCTCTGGGGAGCAGGCTCCTCACCCTACTATCCTCAGTCTATGGCCACCAGATGGCTCCAAGCCAGACATCCCAGCTAGGCTCGAGGACTACTAGTGAAGGGCTTTAGTGAAGCTTATTTGCTTTGTTTTGTTTGTACCAAGGATCAAACTCAGAACCTTGTGCTTGCATGACAGGTGCTGAGCTAAATCCCTGGCCCTAGTGAAGCTCTTTTGATACCAGGGTGGGGTTGCAGGGCTCCTCTGATGAGGGTTGGGGACACCCATGACAAGGAGTACATAAGCTTGGTGCTGGTGAGCACTTTACTGCCACCATCTACACTGTACTCGCAGCAGTGCTGGGAATGGGGAAGCCTTCATCTCAAAGAGGGCTTCTGGCTTCAGAGAGACTGGCTCTTACTCTAAGTCCACATGTGGGCACCCAGAACCCAGGCTTCCAGATTTGAACCCTGAGAATGCTGGAGGCTTGGCATGGAGAGGAAGGCTTCAGGTAAGCAAGGAGGACAAGGACTCGGCCTGTAGAAGAGGAGATATGGTGGGGCGCTTTCCTCTCCAGAGCTGAGAGCTCAGGGATGGAGCCAGTAAGGCAGACTCACGTGCAGGTACAGCTGGTGTGTGGCACAGCTGTGTCCACATACATGCCACCTCTGCTGCACACTCCCCTTGCCCACCCTTATGTGCACGTAGGTGACCATTCCTTGTACGCATACTTACTGGGTGTGCACATCCGAGTGTGGATTCCTGCTCCGTGTGTACCCCATGCCCGTACATGTGTTCACACACAGTACCTGTGAAGCCTCACTCTCTTCCTACTGCCCTCGTGGGCAATCTCACATGCCAGGACAGCAGCCCCTGTACAGGTCCACACATCCATGCCCTAGGGTCTGGGCACTGACAGTCAACAGTAGTGCCCTGTGGTACAGAAGGCTGAGTGTCCCCAGCTCTCAGCATGGTAGTGGCCTCTGTTTGGTGGGTGTGCAGCACACTGCCCCTCCAGGGCACAGAGCGAGGAATCTCCACCCAGAGAATGAGCAGGCTGGTGGGGAGAACAGGCCAAGGCTTTCCAAGGAAGGAGAGCACTCTGATTCCACAACAGACTTTGGCCCAGATGGCTCTACCCACGGCTTCCTGGGTGCTGGTTCTTCTGTTTTTAAGGAAATGTCTTGGATCTCAGTTCAATATCCTGGGCATGTTCCTATCCAACTAGAGACTCAGGCCTGCTGCCATCCCACTCTGCTCCAGAGAGGGGCAGATACCTCTTGGGACGCAAAGACAGGCCCTCATGAGGCTCACTTGCTGAAGCAGCCAGGCTGAAGCAGCTTTTAGGGATTCATGAAAGTGAATGTTTACTGAGGAAAAAATACTTGTAGATTATGAACTACTGAAGAGAACATGGTAGCAGGATTGGAAAGAAATGACGTTCTCTTCCATGGGCTCACCTCATGGTTCCCAAGTTTAACTCAAGCCAAGTCACACATAGCCCTGCTTTGCTGGCAAAGTGGTGGCATGGGCTGGAGGCTTGGGGTTGCCTCCTCTGATCTAAGAAATATCTTTCCAAAAGAGAAGCAAGCCATGCAAACAGTGCTAAGGCCCCATACACTCCTATAGCATCCACCAGCCCTGCAAGGGCTTTGGTCAGAGGGCACAGACCTGTGGTGAGTAAAAAGTGGTCTGTCCCATGCCTGGTGTGGGGTGGGTGGTGGTGGTAGTGACAGAACCAAGATTAATTAAACTAGTAAGAATCAAAGATTGGAGGGAAGTAACTTTTAACTTTTTCCATTTGCTTTCATGGGTATTTTTCCCAATATAACATTTAACACTTACACATTTTCAGTCACTAGCTCTACCTTTCCAAAAAATTATAGATATATATGAAGTAAAACATAGTGTGATGCATGTCTCTCAGCTACTCATGCCTTGGAAAGCCTGGCTATTTGCAGTGAGGTCCTAACATGGGTCCCATCACTCACCTAGGGAAATTACCCTCATGGTGGGCAAAAGGACCTTCCATAAAGGGAGTGCTCAGCCTGGGGGGTGGCATTTCCCCAGGGGTTACAGTTATGAGATACCTCACAAAAATCTCTTACTAAGGAAAAAGTATTGAAATTGCCAGTGATATACTTTTTCACATTAAGTTAACACATCACTCCTGTCCCCCAGGCTTGGGGAGGGGGTGATATCCAGGATGCTGATGCATGGGTCCTGAACATGCCTCTCACCCATCATACATGTCACCTATCAGTAGAAACTCTGAGAACTGTTGCTTTCACAGCTCTGGATATCACTGAGCACAAATGACATCCTCTCTGAGGAAGGGCCAGGACAAGCCTTCCCAGGAGGTTCTCTGGCTGTGGGTGCTACAGCTGAGTGTTTCCTGGTCTTCTTTGCCCACATCCCTCAAGACCAAAGAGCACAGACCAAAGCTCCAATAAAATGGTTATTGGCTATCTAGGATGTGTGATGTGCAGATACCAAGTCATTGAAGCTTCTGGGTTATTAGCTTCATTTTCCAGAGAAGGAATGGAGATTCAGAGACAGGAAGTGGTGGAATCCAAAGCCATGTCTGCTCGTACACTTTCCTACTGCCCACTTGTATTTTAACACCAAGGAGCCACAATTCCAGCTCTCACTTCCTGGTCTTCCAGGACCCAAAGGTCCCCTTCACTTGCCTCTCCAACCTGATCCTGCTTTTCAAATATTGCTCCATAATACCTGAGATCAAACTTAGCACATACTGTGTTTCTAATACATCTCACTTCCCAAACCAAAGTCAGCTTTGCCACTCTTAAAGTGTCCCCTGAGAAGAGCAAGATGGTAAACTCTGGGGTTGCCTCTCATTCCCACCTTGTCTTTTTCCCATCAGAATCTGATTTTGCATGGAGGGGGGCACTAACTCTCTCTGTACTAACTGGCTCTGTGGGCAGAGTTTTGGCTTTTTCTATCTTCTTCCTGGATGGCTGGCCTACAGGAGCTGTCTTGCAATGATGACAAAGGTTTTTTCCAACGATAGAGGTGCGGGAAGAGAGGAGATAGGGCCTGTGCTGCTTCAGGGAGCAGCTTACCTCTCCTTCACTCTGAAAGCATCAACCTTGTTTGTTTAAGCCACTGTATTTGCTTCTGTGTAGTGGGTATTATGTCCATCTTTTAGACTGGAACTAGGCTCAGAGGGGAGAAGTGACCTGTTCAAGGTTGCACAGCCAGTGAGTCCAAGTGCTAAAGTTGGAGATGGTCAGAACACCACACTGGCCACCTCCCCCCAAAGCCCTGGTTCCTGGCCAGCCAGAAGGCTGATGATAGGGGGGATTACCTGGGTGTGGGGCTGCTGTCGCTGCCCTTGCAGGAGCCTGAGTTGCTGCTACTGCTGAGGGAAGAGGTACCATAGGCATCCCGCACGCTCACGGGTGGAGAGGTGCGCCTGGAGGCAGGGAGAAGAGGCAGGTGCTCATTCTGGCTGGGGGGCAGCTGTGGGCACTGAGCGAACACTGCCAGGCCACTGTGGCTCAAAGCGCCCCCACTTCAGGGTCACCAGCAGGGAGAGAAGCAGAGGGGAGAGGGGGATTCACAGACAGGGGTGACAGAACAGACAGTGCAAATCAAGATGGAAAACCAGAAAGAGGCTGGTCCTCCTGGCTTCCCAGGGACAAGAGTGGGGACTGGACAAGGCTGCAGGACAACAGTGGGGCCCCCTCTGCCATTCCCAAAGGTTCTCAACTTCCAGGGTCCCACAGACCCAGGAAAGAGAGCCTTCATAGACTGAGGGGAGAAGAATGGGGTACACAGGAGTAGAGACAGAGGAATGGCCACTGGGCTGAAAATTGGAGGAGGTTGAGTGACCTGGAGTGGGTGGCTGCATCCCCCCCGCCCCGAGTAATGGTGTTCATGGGCCTGGGACTGGTAGAAATCCAGTGGTTTGAGCCTTCAGATAACTTTCACATCCACGTATCATTTGAGCACTTAATAATCCCTGGAGGAGGCTGTTGTTTTCAAGCCCATTTTAAAGATGGGAAAATGGGATACAATGTGCTGGAAGGCCCAGTGTAAGTCAGTGGCAGGGGGAGACAGAAGCTCACCTCCTCCCACCCCCTGCAGCAGAGCTTCTGGGCAAGTGGAAGACTCACCTGCGGGATCCAGCAGAGGCCCGTCTGCTCCCTGGCAGGGACATGGCCATGAGGCTGCGGGTCCGAGTAAGGGGTGGAATGGGTGGTGTCCCTGGGGCTGAAGAAAGAGGGCAGGTTGGGGGGCCAGCAGGGAAGGCCGGGCCGGGCCATGTCATCCTCTCACTGGGGCCGCTGCCAGGCATAGCTTCTCTTCTCACCCTTCGGCAGAATACCTCAGCACCAGGTTTAGGCCACAGCCACCTCTACCAATGAATTTAATGGGACAGGTGCATCGCCTCCCACCACCTGACTTAAAGTCACAATCAATTGTCAAAACCTCAGGGGCAGTGGGAAATCATCAGTCCAACCTAGTATCCTCCAGATGAGTGAATATGCTCCAGAGAGGGTGCAGATCTTGCCCAAGATCACAAGGACAGCAGGAGCAGGGACTCCTGTCCTCTGGTGCAGCTCCAAGTCTTCTAATTTGCAAGCCAGGCTGCTTCTCCCAGGTCCCTGACACTCAGACCCCTGTCTCCCTGCTGTTCAGTCCTCCCTTCTTGGCAGAGGCTGCAGGCTGCAGGGCTCCTGGAGCAGAACCAGGAACCCCAAATTAGGCTGGGCTGTTCTTGTCAACCATCACCTTCCCAGTTGGCTTGTGGTTCAGGGCTTCCTGTCTACAGGGGGAGACAAGACAGACCAACATACCAGCACACATGTAGAAAGACATATGGATACATACGAACACGAAACAGTACCATGTCCCAGAATTCTAAGATGTGCAGCACACATCCCTGTGAACATGCCCCAGCACCTGCCCACAATGCAGGACATGCAGCCAGCCCTCCCATGCTCATGCCTGATTCCCGTGTGCCACACATACCCATTCATGCAAATCTACGTGCTGACTTCCTCAAGTTCCAGGAAGATGTAGATTAGGCTCAATGCAGTAGAGGGCTGGGGTAGATAGGAGCAGAAGTCCTCCCTACTTGCTACTGGGCATCTCAGTGGGTGGCCCAGTAGCAAGAGTCCATGCTAGGAGAGACTCTTGGTAAGAGGGTAGGTGAACTCAGGCCCATTGGCTCTCCTGGGTGGGGGCCTAGACCTCAAGGGTATTGGAGGGGAAAGGCCCCATGCTGGGCTGAATTGAGGCTATGTGAGGAGGAGGGCACACAGGGCATCAGCACAAAGCTCCTAGAATCTGATGCATAGGGCCGGGCTCTCAGCAGCCAGTGGGCTGGTTGTGAGGCAGCTACAGAGACCCACATCCCTTTCTTTGACATCCAGAGTAGGAACTGAGGACAGTAGCCTGGGTTATAGGAGAGTTGGTTGAGGATGTTGTGCCCTGGACTGCCCCCCATGCTGGGAGAGAAGCATTTACCCAGCCACACGCCAAGACAGAGCCCATGCCACGCACATTACGTACATTCTGCCACTGACTCCTCCCAACAACCCTATGAGGAAGTATTGTGATTAGTCCCCTTTCACAGATGAGGAATCAGCTACTGAGAGAGAAGGGACTTGCCCAGTTCACAACCAAGGTATGCTGGCCCAACCAGCATCAGGTGCTGAGGGGCTACAGCTGAAACCCTGGAATCCCTGGCCCAGGACTACCCCCTTCCCACACCAGCACCTCCCAGGAGCCTGGTCTTCCTGGCCGGTGGCAGGGCTGCCTCCTGAGTGGACAAAGGCACTGCTCAGATGGCCTGTTTCCTGTCTGTGACACAGAATATGGCCTGTTCCTCAGAGGGCTGGACACTGCCAGTATTGTCTGCATAGAGGTGTTGGGTGCTAGGCTCCACCACACCCGTCATCTGAGCTCTCACCCAGGCTGGCATTACTTCCCAGCCATCATGCCCCAGGCACCCAGGTAGGGCCGCTGGACACAGGGCTAATCCCCACAACAGGAACCACAGGGCAGGTTGAGATGGGAGCCAGCAGTGCCTCTTCACTCTTGCTCATGGTCACGAGTGACTGAATCCTCCTGGGCACAGAAAAACCTGGAATAGGAGTAGTTGGGGTGAGTGGGGTGGCATGATGGTCTTCCCTCATGGGGGTGGGCGCTTCAAGGATTATGTGTCACTGATTGATTCCTCTGTGGTCAGGTAAACCTGTTGAGTGCTTTTGTGTGTCTCTGGCCTATTACTTTCAACAGGCTTTTCAATCTCATTGAGGCCTGGGATCAAAGATTACACAGCTGCAGTCTGCTGGGCTCTGCTTGACAACATTGGCCATTCTATTGCTATCCTTCCCTCTCCTGGATTTTGGGAGGCTGTAAGGAGGAGGCTATGTCTTGCTTGCCAAGGCAGGGCTCACATCCCAGGACAAGCCTCTCTCTGTAGAGCCAGCTTGGAGCATGTTTCTAGGAGCCAGGAAAGTACAGGTAGAGATTGGGGCTAGGTCCTGGGAGGCAGGCAGGTTGCCAGGCTTGCTTGAAGCTGTGTGGCCTTGGACAACGAAGGCTTTTTGTTCTCCTTTGGCCCTGCTGCTACCTTGCTTGGCAACTCCATGCATCCTCCTCTTGAGTTCCCTCTTCCTTCCTCCCTGGCTGGATTGGGAAGAGGGTGTTTCTGTACTTGGATGAAGCTGACAAGTCTCCTGGGATCAGTCAGAACCAGCCAGTCTTTCAGGGTGGAGGAGGAAGTAGCATTTCCCCTGCTGGGACAGGACCTCCCAGGTAGGTCCCTCATGGGAGGGTGAAAGCCACCCAGGCCTGAAGGGAGTCACGATGTCAGGATCCTACTAAAAAGCTTCAATGTGCACTCTGTGCCTTCTCAGGTTCTCTCTCTCCTCTAGGCCCCAGAGAGGAGGCAGGTTGCCATGGCATTTGTCACCATGCCACCTGCTCAGCCTGGAGTCCCACAGGCCTGTCCCCAGGAGGCCAGAGGCTGCCACTTGGCATGGAAGGTGGAAAGGAAACCCAAAGTCATGGGGAGTGGGCCTAGTAGTCTCTTGTTTCTTTTACTCTGAGAAAGCCAGGCCCTTCCTCACTCTACCTCCTTCCATTTCCCCATTTTACCCATTCCTAACAACCCCAATATACCGACCCCTTTGACTGGTCCCTCACATATTCAGTGTTTCCTGAGGACCTACTAATGGGGATCCAGGGAACAGGAGAAATAGGATCAAACAGATATCTGCTCAAATCTCAGCTCTGTCACTCTCCAGTCACATGCTTTGGGCAAGTCATGCTACCTGTCTGAGTTTTAGAATCCTCATCTGTAAATAGGGCTAGGATAAAATGTACCTGATATAGTTACTGTGAGAATAATCTGAAAAAATGCATTACAGGGCTTGGCTTAGTGCCTGTACACAAGAAACACTCAGAGAATGGGAGCATCCAGGATTCTGTAAGATAATTGCACTGTAATGTGATCTTCAAAACAGAAACATGTTCAAGGCATATTGGTGACCTCAAAAGAGTGAGGAAAAGCTTCCCCTAGTCAGAAATTTGGCTGCAACTTGAAGGATGAATAGGAGTTCAAAGGTGGGAGGAGAGGAGCACTCTGGCTAAAGATAGTGAGTAATTCAACAGCATAGCTGCTAAGAAATCAGTGTGTCTGGTGAAGGCAGAGGTGCAGTGGCAGTGAGGCTGCAGAAGGAGGTGGAGCCAGGCCACACAAGACAGGATCCTGTGTGCAACAGGGTGCCATGGAAGTTTTTGTTTTGCTTTGTTTTAAGGTACTGGGCATTGAATCCAGGGCCTTCACACTGAGTTGCATCCCCAGCCCTTTTAAAAATGTTTTTATTTTGAGACAGAGCCTCACTAAGTCACTAAATTGTTCAAGTTGGGGTCCAATTTGTGATCCTTGCAATCTCAGAGTACTGGAATTACAGGTGTGAGCCACCATGCCTGGTGGTGGGAGTGTTTTTAAAAGGAGAGGGGCACAACTGGATTTGTATTACAGAAAGTCCCTGTGTGGGTAGTAGAGTATTCTGGGAATGGATGACACTACAGGGAGGGAGGCTAGTTAGGAGGTTACTAAAAATTCCCAGGGGAGAAGTTAGGAGGGCCTGGGTCAGGGCAGGGGCAGGAGCAATGGAGAGAAGGCCTGGATCCTGCTTGAAATTCATCAGAGGCTGCTGATTAAATAAAAATAAGAACAAAACTCTTGATGCTGTTTCTCAAGTCCCTTCCACCTACACCCACCTAGACTCTCTCTGGTGACCTCTGGGAGAGCCCTGCTCAACCTGTACGTCCACCTGGCTCTGCCCTGTAGCCTCTCCATCAGGGACCTTCACCAAGGCTTCTCATTCTGACCACTTAGCAAGCTGTCTCTAGGCTGAGACTCAAGAAACAGTCCCCTGAGGACATTCATAGGAACACATATGATCAACACATAGCTGTCAGTCACACAGTGATTGAAACACAGATGCAAGATCAAGGTTGGACTACATGGTCTTTATAGTGCCTCTAGATCTAACCGTCTCCAACTTTAGGGCTACTCCTGAAATGGTGGACTTCCAATTGATGCTTTCCACCTCTTCAATTACTAGTGCTCCCGAGTGACAGTTTCCACATCTGTAAAATTAAGAATCTGTAATCTTCCCAGAGCATTTGACTACATCAGCAAGGCATGGAGGAAAAACCAGAGGCCTTGACTGGTCTGACCTCCTAGCTAAGTGTAAGTCCTTGATTGCACTATCAATTATCTTTCTTCAAAGCACTAGCCATCAATAAAAGAAGAAAGCAACCCTAAAATCCCAGGGAACAAAACAGGCTCTGTCTGATGACTCAAGCCACTGACAGTCATGGAAAGCATCACATTGCAGCCAGCCAAAGACACTGGGAGGGTTCCTCTCTCTGCTAAGGAGACACCACAACACGGAATGTTCACCAACCAAATGGCAAGAGTACCAGGTGCTCACAGAACGCTAATGCAAAGAGAGGTGGGCAGGGAAGATGCTGCTAGGGACTGCTCCTACTGCCATACTTCAAACCTCAGAGCATTAGCAACACCAGAGCTGAGCTTGGCAGATCCTCCATGCCTCATTAACCTCTATGCCCTGTGCTCCATACCATCTGCAAAGCCCAGGACTGTCCTTCCTAGACTTTGAAAGCAAGACAGCAGGGGCAGTTCTCTAGCTCACTTCTGGTTTCCTACACAGCCACCATCAGGGTTGGTGCCATCAGTAGGTACCTGTTGGAGTCCTTTTCACTGTGACAGGGCAGTCCAGTGCTGCAGGGGCTTCCTGAGGCAATCAGGATGGGCTTGAGGACTGAGGCAGCTGTTACACGGACATCCCTGCAGGTGACAATGAGAATCCTAGGAAGTGGGCCTGGGTCTTCCAAGCCCTTAAGGGGCCTTGGCTCTGGGCTGCTGAGCATGGCAGGATCAGTGCCCCTCCTCGTGCCACCTGAAGAAGCTCCTCTTGTAATTGTTCCACAGGTGGGGTAAGACTATTTTTAAAAGGATTTTGGGACTGGGGATGTAGCTCAGTGGTAGCGTACTTGACTATCACATGAATAAGGCTCTGGATTCCATCCCCAGAACTGCCAAGAAAAATAAATGGAGGGTATTGCAGGTTAAAAATTTACGCAATGAGATTTTCTACAATGAGATACAATGTTACACCCACTAGTATGCTTTAAGAAGATGGATAATAACAAGCATATCAAGGAGGAACTGGAGCTCTAGTACATTGCTGGTAGGGATGTACAATGGTAAAGCTGTTGTGGAAAATGATTTGGCAGTTCTTCAGAAAGTTAAAAACAGAATCACCATACGAACTAGCAAGTTCATTACTAGGTATATTCCCTAAAGAATGGAAAATAGGTGTTTAAACAAAAACTCATACAGGAATGTTCACAGCAGTGCTATTCCTAATAGCCAATGTCCATCAATAGATGGAGACACATAATGTGACATATGCACACAATGGAATATTACTTGGCCATAAAAGGAATGAGATATTGATACATGCTCCAGTATTGATGGACCTTGAAAACATTATGCTAAATGAAAGATAAACACAAAAAATCATATATGATTCCTTTTATATAAAATATTTGGCATAGGCAAATCTGTAAGGAAGTAGTTTAGTGGTTGCCAAGAAGTAGGGAAAGAAGAAATAGGGAATGACTGCCAATGGGTATGGGGTTTCTTCTGAGGAATTATGAAAATGTTTTGCAATTGGATAGTGGTATTGGTTACACAAATTTGTGAATATATTACAAGCCCTTAATAGTACATTCTTCATTTTTAAAAAGTTTTTTTTTTGAGACAAGGTCTTGCTAACTTGCCCAGGTAGCTTCCAAGATCTGATCCTTCTGTCTCAGCCTCCTGAGTAGCTAAAAAGGTGAATTTTATGACATGTGAACTATATTTCAATGAAAATCAAATTTTTGAAAGGCCACATAATACAGATTTTATTTTATTTTTTTAAATTTTGAGTCAGGGTCTCACTATGTAGTTCAGGCTAGCCTTGAACTCACTATGGAGCCTAGGCTGGCCTCCAACTCATGGTGATCCTCCTGTCTCAGCCTCCCCAGTGCTGGGATTATAGGTGTGTGCCACCACACCCAGTCTCATAATACAGATTTTAAAAGAGAAATTATAAGAGAGCAGGCATTGTTCAGAAAGAGGGAAGGGAATCGCCCAGATGGCTTGGTAAGCAGTGGTAGAACAGGACTAGAGCCAGTGCTGGGGCCTCTACCTGGCTTTACCTGGGCCCAGGTCCTTCCTTGGTTACCTGGCCATGGGTCAGACTGGAGGAGACAGTGACTGAGCTACACCTTTTGATGTTCTCTGCAGAAAGAAGCCAGGCAGAGACTATTCTATTCCACACACAGGAAACCTGAAGCCATGGGGGTTAAGAAGTCATGAGGTAGTATCTTGGACTTCTAGATTGTGTGCATTTGCATTTCTATTCCATGATGAAGGTCTCAAAATAGAATGGATTTAGGACACAGATCATGATGTTGCATAAAAAAAAGAAGCGATTTTCCCAGGAGATATTAAAGTACCACAGTGGAGAGGATGAAATATGTCCCTGGGTC